GGCAATCGAGATGAAAGACCAGAGAGGGACGAAGACCAGGAAGTTGATCTGAGAGGGCGACGATGTCATCGTATCCATGTTGTACCAGTTGGCGACTGCACGCACACAGTCAGCTCTTTTAGTTCCAGCCACAACCGCCACCACTGTTCCAGCACATACCATAGGCCGAGAGACCCAGAATCACCAACGAGAAGACACCCTGAACGATTCGGAAAGGAAGGATAAGACCCATCTTGTCGGTATTCGTTATCGTTTCGTTGAAGTAGAGTCGTAGGTATCGTTAAGAAAAGGGTAGTAGAGAAAGAAGGGAAAGATAAAAATGGTATAGTTATAAAATCTAAGCTGCCCCCAGTGCGCTGTTCAAGAAGAGAAGTAGGTTGTATGAAGTAGAGGGAATGTGTGGAAACGGTCAAGCGGGAAAAGCTCCAAGAAAAGGCAACGCAGCATGAAAGAGGGGAAATCAGTTATGCTTTTGTATGGACAGGCAGTCCCATCTTGCTCCCTGTCTGGGTGTTTGAGAGGCGGGACATGTAGTCGCGGCTCTAGTCATCACTGGACGCCCAAGGGTCGGGTTCTCGCTGGGCAATGCACGGCCTGAGACTTTTGAAATGCATCTGAAACGGGACTCCCCTGGACCGTCGCCATGCACTGCGAGAGAACAAGATGGTGTGTAGCAGGGTTCCCAGGCTAGCGCCGGCAGCCAATCCTGCTGCAGGAAGCAACAGAGCCTCCCTTCGAGGGCCGGACTACGGCTTGGCGCGAGGCAGTTGGTTGGATGGCTGGTCTTGAAGAGGTGCTCGCAGGCCTCGTGGCGGACTCGTACGTGGTATCGTAACCTCCGTATCCACGTAGTGTATCTGGGTTACACTACCGTTTTTTGATGGAGACGTGCGCAACACGCTTACAACCCACACGTGTCGGACGACAAGAGTAGCACCTCTGACTTTTTTGGCGGGGATGATCGGCGATGCGAGGACGCGATGCGGCGCAAGAGCGGCTACGTCTGCGTACGGAGTAGAGGAGACGATGTGCAGCAAGGGCGATGTTGGGCCGGCCAAAAGCGTCAGCAAGGAAGCCAAATTAACCTTGCATGGCCTGTTCGTGAGTTGCTTGCGCCTTCTTAGCAGAAGTAGTTCGTTCCTCTTGCCATACTTTGCATCGGCAGCACACTCCGCGATGGTGTGCTGCGGATGAAGGACCGCGAACTTGGGGCGGATTCAGAGGGCTGAAGCGAGTGATGTTCAGATTGAGAAACGCAGGCAGCGAGAGAGATTCCCATCCCAGAGGCAGAGGCAGACTGCAAGTGTGTAGGTACGCAGCAGTGCTGTCTGCATTCTGCACGCTAGGGCGCCAGAATGGTATCCTCGTCGGTCGGAGGGTTTGAAGCTGAAGACCAGCGAGTCTCAAGATGCCAAGCATGATTCGTCCGGGACCCAGCATGTGTCACCGAACTTTCGACGACAACCATCTCGTATTGTGGGCGTTGAAACAAACAAGACTAGCAGAGGGTACTGGTGATCTCGAGATAAGGCAGTAGGTCACGCTTGCGACGGCGAGGTGCAAGTACAAACTCGACCAAGGTAAGGTGTGTTAGGGGGAGAAATGTCCGAACGGGCCATGTTTCCTCGCTGCCAGGTCCACCCCCCTTTGGCCAAGGGCCTAAAGGAAGCGGATTCGCAGAGGCGGGCGGGTTGTGGGCTGTCAACACTGTCAGGCGCGTCCGGGGCAGCAGGGAAGAAGCCAAGACAAACATGCAAAGAGTGTGGAAGGCGACGAAGAAATCGAAGGGGCCTGCCTGTTGGCGACGCAATAGCTCCGAGGATTCAGGAGATGCTGCTTAGTTGTTGCCCTGGTGTGTGTTTGGTGGTTTGGTGGGATCGTCGCCCCAGCGCACGGCGGACGTTACACCGCCAAGGGTGCCGCCCAAGTTTCCCACGCTCGCTTCTGCCCGCTGCTTCTTAAAAAAGCTTTTGAGACGCCGCACAAGACTCCCAGTCTCAGTCCGATACTCAGATCGCCAAGGAACCTCCCTCGACCTCGATTCTGCTTCCCTTTTTGCTTGGTTGGCTTCTTCCGCTGCTTACACATACCACACACTGGTTAGAGCCTCCCTTCTGACTCCCTTCTAAGACCATTCCCCAGCCGTGTCACGACTCGTTGCAACAGCGGTTCTGTCTGCCGACTTGGCCAGCCCCGACATTGCGACTCTGCCAAAGCTTCGCCTCACCATTCAACATGTCAAACGGTCTTGGGAATTGCTTAGCATGCACGCTCTCCGCCCATCGTTCACCCCTGATGCCGATTGTATGGGGTTTCTCAACCGATGCGCAAAAGTATTGGCATTCCTCGGACTTGCTCTCCAAGGTCTTGGCCACTGCCGGAGCGTCCACTTCTGCCACCCGTAGAGCCTCAACGCAGCACTCGACCTCTTGGCACCTGGTCTAGAGTCTGCCTTGCTGCTGCAGCTGCTGCAGCGAAGTCTTTGTGCATTACAGACGAGTGGGTTTGGTCTGCCCAGAACTGTGTCGTGCTCATGTTGCCAACCGAAAAAAGCCCAGCTCGATATCCGAAAAAGTTTCGCGAAGTATGCCATTACCTGCTTCCACCGTTTCAATATCACCCGAATCGGAGCAACACGCAAAAGGAAACGAGAAAAGCTTCCACGGAGATTTACCGCTACCGCATATCATAGATACTATGGCAGCCCTGACCTGGCAAGGCCAACCGTCAGCCTGACATGTCTGGTTTTTCTCACCAAGTCCCTCCCTTCTTTGGCACGACACGGGACCCCGACTCTAGGTGTTTCCGACTTTTGGCAGAAAACTGGCCGGCCGAAGAGAACAGCTGGCCTACGCTGTGTCATCCCGAGGCGCTCACGAGTCATCCCAGGCCTGAGGCTCAGAGCGTATGCAACAATACCTATCACTTCCTGATCAGACGCTATCCAAAACGCAGACACTTGTTTACTGTTTCTCCTTCGCCGTTGTAACCGCTGTCGACGTATCACAGCCATCTGTCGCCGCTGATAGTCCACGTCGGCGCGAAGTCGGCACAGCGTACAAGAGTGCTGCTGCTCCCGTTTGAGGTTGCTGCTGATGGCGCAGTCGTGGATCGCTCCATGTATATGAAGAGCTGTCGCGTCCGCGGGCGATGACGACTCTGATGAGGACGTCGTTTTGTTGTCGTTTGGCACTTGTGCATGACTGTCAAAGTCACGCATCACGGCATACTTTTTCCAGCCGACTTATCCATTGATGAGCCAAGCAGCTCTAATTCGGTTTGGACGAAGATGAAGAACGTGGCCAATCGGTGCAGCCATGTGTCGGCCAGCCAGAGGTGAATTAGGCTATTGGCTGAAAAGCGAGCGCAAATCAGCATCCAGAATGTGCCTCAACATGAACATCATCTTCCGTGCATTCCATCCGGAGGACGGCCAATGATCAGCCGCAAGCCACTTTCAACAACATTCAAATGGCCTTCAGGAGACGCAGATCAAGCCGCACGCGCACCGTCAAGGCGGGATCGAGGCAGGTGGAGCCCGGCCTTTTCGGTCTGTTCGGGTACGGCGTCCAATGGCCTCCGCCCGGAACCAGACAGGTGAACTTGGCCGGCATGACGGGCTGCGTCTGGCATGTGACAGGCGACGCTAGTCAGTGAGTGCTTCTTAGAGAGCTACCGCGGCACTGTTAGCGCATGTAGGTCGACTTAATCTCGTCATGGAGATTTGGTCAGTGAGGTTCAGTGTTCTGGGCATGGGAATTTCCGCATGCACCAACATCAATGCCGTGAGAGATGGCAAAGTCGAGAATTCGGCTTCATCGGCCGAGGTGTTGAGTAAACGGGATTTGGACAAGCCCGACGAACGGAGACGGACAAGACGGACGCGCAGGCGGGGATCGGCTCGTTACAATCTCTCGTTAAATGACGGCTCCCCATTTATTGGCGGTGCGGCCCCGCCAAATGCGAATAGCCGCGATGGTCGTTATTCAGCCCCCTGCGACGTTGTATTCGATAATGCGATATTAACCCATTAAAGTGCACGGGGACGCGATAGCTGTAACGCCCAGCTCCTGTGCAAGGCAGCCTGTGTTGTGATAATTGAAGTAATGGGCTGTAGTGGATCGCCTCGAACATCTCTCCCAGTCTTCGAGAAAATGTCCTGCATATCAAGATGCTTTCCACTGCGTATCAACGCGCATGTACAGACCCAACAGCAGCGCGTCAACCCACGTGGACACTTCACTGTGAGGTCATCACGGGTCGCCGTCCCCATTTTTTCTGAATGTCCGACCCAGCACCCCAGCTTCAGCTCCCAGTGCCTCCGCTGCGGCCTGCCAGCCCCCCGTGCTCTCCCCCAGCGCTCCAGCACCCCCGCAAGCCACAAGAGGTCCAGCGCCCCCCTTGGCGGAATCCTGCGACCTATCAGGCGCTGTAGATGGCCCCCTTAGTGCAGCATCGTCTGGGGTTACCGAGGGCCTTTGGGTCACCCTGGCCTTTTTAGGAACCTGTGCCTCGGTCCACGCTCTCAAACTCGGCTTCCTTCATTGGATTTCCCCCCGATTCTCTACTCTATTGCTAGCTAGACACGACCTAGGGGAGCTTGCAGAACCGGAGGAACCTTGGTGCTGCTTAGAATCGCCTTCTTTTGCTGTGTGCCAAAGCCTAGAACGGGACAAGACAGGTCCCCCCTCCTTGGTCTCAACTCTCCTGCTCGGCGCCTTTAACCTTTTCGTCTCTTCCCATCTTCAACTCTTTTTTTGCTTCCCACCTCCTCCCTACCTCGACCTGCCTACGTCGTCTTCACGTGTGATTGCTTCAACTAAGAAGGATCCAAAGGGCCAGAAATCCCATCCTTTCTGATACCGCGTTTCGCCAAACCGTCCTTCTCCACGAATTGGCAGCCAGCTCCTAGCGGATCGACGCACCGCGTAAGCACCGAATTGCTACCAACCACCAACCACAACCAACACTACCACAGAGAGCAAACATCCGCTGCGAAGATGGCTCCGAAAGACACCGCCGCATACATACAGGAGCTGGCCACTCCGCCGCCCCCCGGCTCCCCCTACGGAGTGCCCGTCCCCGGCACCGCGAAGGAAGGCCGCAGCGCCATTTACCGTCACTGGCGTTTCCGCGACGGCCCTCTCTTGTCCACCTTCGACCCCGCGATCCAGACTGTCCACGACTTGTTTGAAGATTCCGCACGAAGGCGCCCAAATGCGAAGTGCTTGGGTCACCGGGCCTGGAACCCGGCGACCAAGGACTGGGAGAACAAGTACACTTGGATCACCTATGCCGAGGTTGCCGAGCGTCGCAAGAACTTTGGTGCTGGTCTCGTAGAGATTCACAACAGAGTTGGTATTACTAACGACAACTACGGTGTCGGTTTGTGGTCGCAGAACCGCCCAGAATGGCACATTACCGGTACGTGAATTGAGCGATTGGTTGCCAAACTTGTGTGCTGACTCTAGAAACCCCAGATCTTGGCGCTGCGTCCCAGTCCCTTTTCACCGTCTCGCTGTACGAAACTCTCGGCCCCGATACGACAGAATACATCATCAACCACGCGAGTCTGGCCTGTGTCGTCACCTCCCTGCCGCACATTCCAGTCCTGCTGAAGCTCGCCCCACGCCTGCCGTCCCTCAAGCTCATTGTCTGCCTCGACTCTCTCGACGATGGCGAGCAGGCCGGCTACTCGAAGCTGTCTGTCCTGAACGGCATCGCTGCCGAACATGGCATTCAAATCTACTCCATGGCCGGAGTTGAGGACATTGGTGCCAAGTCTGGCCGACCCATGCACCCCCCTCGCGCAAACAACTTGGTCACCATCAACTACACCTCCGGAACGACAGGCATGCCCAAGGGTGTCGTCTTGACTCATGGCAACGCTGTCTCTGCTCTCTCGGCCGCCAGATCTTCCGGAACTGTGACCTACAAGGATGTGCACATTTCTTACCTGCCCTTGGCGCACATTTACGGAAGAATGATTGACCAAACGGCTCTCGCAGAGGGTGCATGCATTGGCTTCTTCCGCGGCGACATTGTCGGTTTGGTTGACGACATGAAGATCCTCGAGCCCACGGGCTTCATGTCCGTTCCCCGTCTCTACAACCGCTTCAACTCGGCCATCCGAGCTGCGACGATCGACGCCGATGGCATCAAGGGATCCCTGTCTCGCCAGGTCATCAGCACCAAGAAGGCCAATATGAAGCAGCCAGTCGGCAAGGCAAGCAACACTCACTTCCTGTACGACCGCATCTGGACTCCCAAGGTCCGCGCTGCTGTCGGCCTGAAGAAGGTGCACAGCATGGTCAGCGGCAGTGCGCAATTGGACCCTGATGTGCATGAGTTCTTGCGGGCCGCCTTTGGCAACAACTTTGTGCAGGGATATGGCCTGACAGAGTCATATGCCGTCTCGACTGTTCAGCTGAGGGGCGACTACACCCTGGGCAACATTGGACCGCCAGCAGCATGCAACGAGGTCTGCCTCGAGTCCGTCCCTGACTTGGAGTACCTCGTCACTGATAAGCCTTACCCGCGTGGCGAGATCCTCCTCCGCGGTCCCGGTATCTTCCAGGAGTACTACAAGAACGCGGAGGAGACCGAGAAGGCCATCGATGCCGATGGCTGGTTCCACACTGGTGACATTGCCGAGGTCGACAACATGGGACGGTTCAAGATCGTTGATCGTAAGAAGAACGTTCTCAAGTTGTCGCAAGGAGAGTACATCTCTCCTGAGCGCATCGAGAACGTCTACCTGGGCAGCAGCAACTTGCTTACCATGGCCTACGTCCACGGTGACCCGGCCCAGTCTACCCTGGTCGCCGTCTTCGGCATTGACCCGGAGACCTTTGCGCCGTTTGCTAGCAAGGTCCTCAAGAAGACGGTCGACAAGACGGACCTCACGGCTCTCAAGGTCGCTGCGAATGACGCCAAGGTCAAGAAGGTATTGCTCGCCGAGCTGGACAAGATTGGCAAGAAGCACAAGTTCAACAGCTACGAGCGCGTGCGCAACGTGTACCTTGCCATCGACCCTTTCAGCATCGAAAACGAGCTGTTGACTCCCACGTAAGTTGACCATATAGCAACGAATTATGAGCTCATGCTAACCATTTGAACAGTCTTAAGTTGAAGAGACCGCAGACCGCCAAGGCTTTCCGCACGCAAATCGACCAGATGTACGAGGAAATCAATGCGGAGCCTTCGGCCAAGGCCAAGCTGTAGAGAGATATTAGATACAGGACAGGCGTTGGTTTTTATGTTGTGTCACATATAAGGGGGGCTATGTTGTACTATATTACTCCATTAAAGGTCTTTCTAGAGTTGGATTAAACGTGGCAATGTTTTCAAGACACGATCATATGGCTTGGAAATTCGCTTGCTAGCCAGCAGCTCATCCCAGTAACGGCTTCAGTCTGAGCCGAGGTATCGTGAACTCTATATTCGCTTACATGCATATCAGATGTTGTAAATCTTGCGAATCTACGTCCAAACTAAAGTGCTTCCACTTTATTGAAAGTGATGTAAATTGCACCTAGAAGCTACTAGAGACGTACTAGTCATTCTCTGCAACTTTTCATACAGATTGGATTGGCATTGTCCAAGCTGAAGCTGCTGTGCATGTGTCGCTGGTGATGTCGCGTTGCTGTCGCGATGCGCCGGGCTTGGTGGGGCCGATGACGGACAGCTGGCCCTCCTGGGCCGGGACAATGTTGAGCGATGCGACGCGATGCGCGACCGGAAGAAGGGGTTAAAGGGTTTCTTTTCGTGTTAATATGCTCCGAGCGACTTTTAGCAGTAATTAACGTCGTGTAAAGCTGGTAACAGACGTCGAATGGCGGCCGCTTTTAGTCGGGTGTACCGTCTGGATGATGTTGGATGGATATCAGAAACGGATGCTGGAGCGCATTCTTGAAATGCGCTTGCCAGTGACATATCGCAATACTACTCATTGAGTTTCGTACATTAAGGTCCGAATATGGCGTTTTCAACGACTTTAATAGTTTGGCAAGTCATTGTTTGCATCTTTCAGCTAGCTGTCTTGAATGCCACCGAGTGAGTGTTGTTGATAGGAAAGCTGATGCTCAATGAGTCAATGCCAACAAACGAATGCTAGCTAACAAACGTTCACTCGAACGAACGAACAATCAATCAACCGAACATCGTTTAGAAAGACTTGCGACATTGTTCCAAATGAGCATTCCTCTTGATTTCAACAGCTTTCTAACATGTTAAAATCTTGTTTAAAACGTGATTCTTTACTTAATTTATCTATCTAGCTCTCTGTATAAGTGTATAGTAATAATTTTTAGAAGTTTAGAAATTAAAGAAAATAAATTTAAAATGAGTTAAAATTTCAAGAATTAATCTCTAAAATACTAAGTAAGTAAAATTCTCAGTATATAGAGAGATAGCTTTAAAAGTGATTTTAAGAAAGAAGCACGGACCCACTCTGCCCACTCTCCCTTCCCCTCTCCCCTTTCCGTTATAGCGCCTCTGAAACTACTAACTTTCAACGACGACCTCAACCCACCACGAAGCGCGTCACGGAGCTCTTTACGCGCCGACAGCTTGCGAGACCTCTGTGGGCGCGTTGTGTCGCCCATATGATCACTTTTAGGAGCGCACCCGGCTCCATGGCCAATAACTATCCTGTTGTTGATCTCACAATAGACAGCATCGAACACATCGATCTCACGACTTTAGACGAATCCCCTCCGAGCAGCCCACGCGCATTGAACACCACGAGCGAGCCGCCTCGCAAGAGGCAGCGGCTTGGGGGCGATGCCTCCTTCCAGAGTCCTTCGCGGAACCTGGCGGCCTGTCTGAAGGCGCAGGTCAAGCCCTACATCGACGCATGCCTGGCTGAGATCCCCCAGGGCCAGGTGAACACCACCGAGCTGGGTCGAGCGGTAAGAACCACGTGCCTTTCACACCAGAATCTACCTGAAAGAAAGCCCACTCAAACCTTCTACGGCTAGGTGCTCTGCCGGATTGGCAGCATCGACAAGTTCTCGGCTGAGTTCACCCACAAGAAGGGGTTCCTGTCGTCGGCTTTGGAGCAGCATCTGGCCAAGACGGCGCGTTATCTTATTACGAAATACGCCGCCGAGCCGGTGAGAATATTTGGGTGTTACTAGAGGCAGGCGCGAATGGGATGCTAACTTGCCGTTGCTAGGAGTTCCAGCTGAACGCGAACACGACGAGCTCACCTGCCCTGTCCAACGGCGGAGCTTCGACGCCAACGCCTGTGCCCGCACCTGGACCTTCCCACACATTGTCGAGGCCTGCGCCCACGAGTGTTACCGCGACTTCCGCGACAGAGATCTCCCCGAACGCTGCTACGACATCGACTCATCCCGCGGCAACACCCAAATCCAAACACCGTCACTCAACTCGAGCGCCCAAGGACACCGTCTCGCCCGCAAACTACCGAACAAAGGCGCGAGCGAAATCATTCAAGTCATGGAAAACACACAACCCCAGACCGGGTCCTGTCACAGCCCGGCACAAGGCACTCAGCGCCTGGGTGCACATGGAGAGACGTCCCTACACCACGACCGAGGAACGCGAAAGGATACTTAAGGGTGCATCCAAGCTCATTCGGTCAGCTGAAGCTGTGGTGTCAAAGGAACCTGTCCCGTTTCATGTCGATTTCACAGCAGAGGAGATGGAGGTTGTCCGCAGGAAGATTCGAGAGTTATGCGATAAGAAGGCCAAGAGCAAGCGAAGTACTGACACGGCAAAGGAGCTTGGGAAGCTGCTTAGAAAGAACCCCCATCTCCTTACGATTATTCCACCCGACCTCGAGCTGAAGGGAGATCTTGCGAAGAGAGATCGAGTTGCGATTAGGAACCTGCTCGATGAGCTTGTCGACCGCTATAAGAGGCCGGCCCGACAAGCGAAGATCCTGATGCTACAGGTGGACGAGTTCGACAAGCAGAACGAGTCGAGACGTTCTAGCCAGATCTCTTCACTCCTCCTGGCGCGCGAGATTGACGGCAATCGGGGCTTTGGCCGCATGCGCCGTCTTCTCAACTTTACGAATGAGTTTCGAAAGGCCCATGAAGATGACATGGAGATGCGTGCGGAATGGGTCAACTGCGCAGGCGATATCATGACCATCGTCTGGACTTCGGACCACAACTTCATCTGCGGAACAACGACCCATTCGGACTCGCACAATCAGCAGTACAACCGCGACGGGAACTTGCTTCTTTGCTCCTCACAATCCAAGCAGCTGAAGGCATTTGCTGACCACCGGATTCCTCGACCGGTCGTCCAAAGCGGCGAAAACTCCACGGAAGCCATGAGAGAGTCACAGAGCCCTTGGCTTTACTCCTCTGTTGTGTCCTCAGACTACGACAAGGTCAATGACCGCGTCTACACTTCCAGCTTCGACAGGACCGTCAAAGCATGGAAGGTGACGAAGGATGGAAAGGACATGTCGGCCATTGGCACCTGGCACCACACAGGCAACGTGAACTTTGTTGTCGCTTCGAAACACGAGTCTGGTATGGTGGCTACCGCTGCGGACGTGGCCAGCTACGCCGTCCGCGTCTACCAGATCAACGATGAAGACGTATCTGCGAGCCCTTTCCATGCATACAACAACCTGCGAGCCTGGAACGAGGGCAACGAGCAGACAACCGAAACCCAAAAATGGGCATACTTTCCGGCTACGATGCAATGGGGCTTGGCCAAGGGCGTTCAACACTTGCTACTCGTCGGATACTCGCCTCGAAGCTTTACTGGAGACGACAACGATATCCCAGAGGACAAGCGGAAGACGGGTGAGATTTGCCTTTGGAACTGCTTGACGGGAGAGCAAATCAAGGTCACAAACAGTTCGCAGAACGTGTTCGAAGTGGCTTGGCACCCAACGTTGCCGGTATTCATCGTCGCCACATCCCCGCATGCCACGAACTTGGACGTCAAGACAAAGGGTACACAAATTCGAGTTTTTCAGCCTGGTCGAGACCAGGATGGGAGGGTTATGTTCCAGGACTACCAAAAACTTGACTGTCCGGCTGAGGATATCAACGAGGTTACCATCAAGCCCAACAGCAGGTCGCACTCATACGTCACAGCAGCTTGCACTGATGGAAAGGTCTATGTTTGGGATACAGCCCGTGGCGATAGACCCATCCACTCCCTGAAGCATAAGGAGGCCCTCGACAAAGAGAACGAGGACATAGGCGTCAAGTTCACAGCGTGGGGAACTACCGCGGATCGCTTCTACACGGGAGGCGCTGATGGAAGGGTCAAAGTCTGGAACGTCAGGGATCTTCGCCAGCCCCTAGTTCGTGATTTACTGGAGGCCCCCGGCTGTGTGACCAGCGGTGCCTTCTCACCGGACTTCTCGAAGCTTGTCATCGGAGATGCCACCGGGCGTGTAATGCTGCTATCACTGGACGAGGAGGACGAGCCACCTGCCAACTTCGTCCAACGTGGGTCTCGGCGCGTCCGCCGCCCATTAGCATTCAAGGCACACGACGAGCCACCCCCGCCTGGCTCGAACGCAGCGTCGGATTCAGGATCCGCGCGTGGAAATCACTGGCTATCCACGGGCCAGCTCACCCGACACCGGGACCCTACGATCGGCGTCATTCAGGGACCGTCTTACTCGGAACTTGGGCTTTACCGGAAGGAGTTTCACTTTGAAGAGGACCCCTCCCAACCCTTATTAGCAAAGAATGAAGAGGAGCAGCAAAAGAATAAGAAGATGTTCAGGCCGTCTTCGAGAACTTCTCGCATTCTGCCACCCACGGCATCCTCTTCCTCCACACTTCAAGTCAGGCACTATAACAATATAGCCAAAGACTTGGATTTGAACATGCTGGACGAGATGACCAAGTTAGACTTGGTAAGGGATAACGTCAACCTTGACGATCCCGTTGAAGACCTAGGCTTCGACTTTGACTGGGAGGAGGAGTAGCAAAGACTACTCTACACGCTTTTCGCATTAGCTAGGAGTTACGAGGTTAGCCACTGTGCTACTACAGGTTGCTTTAAGGTGCTGGGACGGCCTAGGATGTAGACTAGTCTCATAACGAATATAAAGAACTTACGAACTGAATATTTTTAATCCCTTAATTTCCTAAATACCTAACTGCTTCTTAGCTAGTTATTCTCTTCTACTTAGTTTAAATCTTTTTAAAATAAACTTATTATAAATAACTAAGATTACTAGCTTATTATTAATTAAATAGTTTCTTTTACTTTATTTTAGTTTACTCTAGTGAAAAACTAAAGTAGTAAAGGCTTAGTGAAGATTTCTTATACTTAAGATAGTTTGAAAAAGATAGGCATCTACCTTAAGAACTTCTTAGTATGCATGCAGCTTTCTTTCTTACCTATATTATACAAAAGGTGACGATATATCGTGTGGAATTAGGTGGCTAATCGTGCCCGCTCTACATGCTACAACTAGGTAGCAAATGCCATGCTGTGTTCTTTAGCTGCTGGGCTGCTCTGCTTTACACACTTCCTCTCTAGGTGCCTGGTCTTTTGCGTTAATTTGCACACGATACTGGTGTATAAACTATAGGTGAGTTGATTCTTGACCTCTGAATTCATCAACCGTCGCCTATTATGCTACCCAGGCGCCTTCTGCTTTCAGGAGTTTTCACCTTACCCAAACAAGCCTTGAGCGTATCATTTTTGTGTTTCTCATGTTCAGCCTCAAGTCACATTCTATTGTGTATGGATTTCTGCGTCCCCAAACCGTTGCTTCTGCAAGATGCTGCTCTTACGAAGCCGCTCAGCTCACCAGTCATAAGCAGCTCAGTATGCTAGTCGGAAATTGCTTAAGTAAACCTGCAATAGGTCTGTTGTTTTGTACTCAGCAAGCACAATCCTTTCTCTTGCGGATGGGTGGCCTTGAGCACGCCGAGTCGATTTGGACTGAGGACCTTCCAGACCCGGGCGCCCAGCGTATATGAAAGACCTGATTCACCACGAACAGGCTGTGCGATGGTCTATGTCTGCCATTACTCTCATCGTATTCATATAAAATAAACTCACAAAAAGGAATACGATCTACTGCTTATTGGGACTGATAGGCGCACACACCGATCGGGCAGGCGATGATACTTGGACAGCCAGCCCCTTGGACAGATTGAGCAACCTTCACTTCTACACATACAATCTTGACCCCACATTGACATGTCACTCATTTCGCCTGCGAGAGTGACAACTTATTTCAGGGACTCTCTGCCATCATGTCTTCATCTACACTCGTGCGAGTGTCTATATAACGCAGTATGTTAGCAGAAGCACTCACATCGGAACCAATGAGACAGACGGAACTGACGACATTATCACACTTGCTGCATAAAGTCAGTAAATTATAGTAAACCTTCTCCTATGATTTACTAAATGGTTCCTCATTCATGACGTCCCCGTATGAAAACCCTCGGGTTACTACTTCAGCCCGTCCCCCCTCCCCACCGTGATATCCGTCCTGATATTATGAATGAATATACGTGCCACGGACGACAGAGGCATATGGTAATGTCTTGACCACCCGGGTCTGCTTTAGTCCTTACAGTCTGCTACTCGAATAGAGGGTATTACTAAAGAGACGTGATGTCTACTCTTCGGTCGCTTGCAAGACCGGAGACATCTCCCTGGGTCGTGATCTTTTGTAATCCTTCAGCACAAGGTGAAGATGAAGCAGCGTACTTTAATAGCAGGAAGCTAAAAGAAGGGCATGTTACGGCCAATCCACAATAAAGCGAGCGTGCTACGTGAGACATGGAGCAGGCAAGAGATTTGAGGCATAATAAATTGCTTATAATAAGAATGGCTGGGCAACAGATTGGACTAAGCAAATCCACACCCGCCCAGCACCCAGGACTCGGTGTCATAGGCTGAGTATTTTCAGCATGAGCGAAGTGTCACCGGTTCTCATTCCATGTATAATAAGCTGCGGCCACGTTCTTCGATGTCTCCTGATTATTCTTTAGGGATACTCTCAAGGGGAGAAACAACAGGTAGACCTGTGCCTGATGCCGTAGGGGAACAACCAAATTTCTACAACCACTAGCGACACAACATCGGGTGATTAATAGCATCGCTTCAATTGACGAAGAAACCCGTGTCATGGTCGCTTGGGTTGCGTGTGGCTACGACTTGTTCCCCTTTGAAGTAGATGTTTTTATTGGACGCCCGGAGAGTGAGACTGCCACAGATGCCATCGCCACGCTGAGTATCTGGTGTCTCCCGACGAAGTCATCTTGTACCAACATCAACTTCTAGATGACTCTTTCTCCTGGTGAGAATATAAAACATCCCGCAACATCCTCGAGGCACCATCTGCAGCAATCGACCGCACCAGGGTCTTCTTGAACTGTGTTAAACTGGGCCATGATTCAAACTTGAAAGCATGCACCATGCCTTGCGTGAAGACTTCTTTCAGCCAAGGAAGCTAACGTCACTCAAAGACTTTTAACACATATGTCACCCCCCTGTTGTCCTTTATCTGCGCGGTCCGCAACCCCTTCCCTCGTATTCACCCTCTCACAACTCACCCCATTCGCCACTCAAGACTTACTCTTCCTGCCCTACGATCCAGCCTTAAAGGTGGTGATGAAACCTCGCAGTCTCAGTACTCAGTGAACTAGAGAAGAAGTTTCCTTCACTTCAAACAACATTGTCCTGGTTCTTCTCTAACTTTGCGCGGGAGAGCAAAGTCCTCATATCAGAAGAAAGACAAGGTTGGGGCTGGGGGTGAGGTTCCTTACCTGTCATGACATGTGCATCCTTGTTGTCAGTTACCCCTTTGCGCACACTCACCCTCTTAGAACCCATGACGGTCGGGTTCAAAAGAACTTTGCTCATCTTCTCTGGGGAACTTCATACCAGGTATCAGTACCACAAAACCTCATGACCACATTGCTGAGGGAAAGGCGAAAGATACTTTCTTCTATTCTAGCAACACCACTCTAGACCTTGTCTAATTCCATGTGTGAGAAAGAAAAAAATTGAGAAACCGTCTGAGTTTCCTGTCTGCTATACTGACTTCCTAGGAATAAACACAATACGATGAGGAGAGACTAGGATGGCGGCAGACAGAGGCCACAAGGACGACAATGGAGACGGCGATAAGGATAATGGAGCTAATGACGTGAATAACAGGGACAAAGACGAGGATGATGACGACGACAACGAGGACAACAGGGACAATGGCGAGGACAACAGAGAACAAGAGACAGCTGATTGCCTTCAAGGAGCAACTGTTGGAATGCTCCCATCTGGCCTCAACTATTGACAACTTAATAACTTGACTTCAAAATCCAAATGGGTAAGAATAATGTCTTTCTGTCATGATTGATTCCGATGCAGAAATCGCTTCCTGTAGACATACAGTTTTATGTACAGACGCTCACACACACTAATAGAGAGACCACTGAAAAAGAAATGACACTCCTGAACCGATACACATGTGCTCTCTCCTCTCTTCCCGCGGGTATGATGCAAACCTCGCGTCTTCGTTCTGAAACGCTGCTCTTGATCTTGAATTCTTCTCGTCTCTCGGCTCGGCTCGATGTCCTCGTTTTTCCTCCTCCACATGTCCACAAGACATCACCTCTGGAAAAATAAATTCAAAAACACCTTGTGGCTCGACCTTTCCGTATCCAGTCCTTGGATTGGGGGGCCCTGCGGCCGCCGAGAAAGAGGAAAAAATTGCCGCCATCTATATGCAAAAGTAACCATCTAAACTTCTTGATGCGCATGCGCGTGAAATCAATCTCAGTCGTCTTGGTTGACCGGAGCATATCTGCCGCTGCCGCTGCTGCTCTGGTTCCGCGTGCGGCTGACAACCCTCGACACCCATCCGCTGATGGTGCTGCTGGCCTCGCCGTCCTGGCCCTTGCCGTCGGGGATGTCGGGCGGGTCGAGCGACAGGCCAGGAATGGCGTTCTGGGCTGTGAAGGCGGGTCGTCCGCGGTAGGAGCCAACCGGTGAGCCGGGCATAAGAGAGCCGGTCTCGGCCGCATGGACGGACGGGGTGCCGATGACCGTGCTCGCGTCGCCGAAGAGTGAGTCCATCTCCTCCAGACGGACTCCACAAGTCTCGGGGTAGATGAAGTACACTTCAGATCGTTAGTGGGGATGCTTATTTTGCGGGTCACGATGATCAACTTACCCACGACGAAACTGACAGCGCAGAAGAAAGCGTGCACCAAGTACAATCTCCACTTGATGTAATCTTGCAGGATGGGCGTCAATTCTCCTACCAGCCAGTTGAAAGCCCAGTTGGTCGCGGTAGACAAACTTGCACCCTTGGAGCGAATGCTGAGAGGCAGGATCTCGGGGGGGTACAACCAGGGGATAGGGCCCCACGAGTAGCCGAATGCTGCGTTGTAGATCATGACAAAGATGACAACCAGGTTGGGCGTTGCGGGAATGTCCAGGTAGATCCAGTATGAAATCAAAGACAACGAAACCGACATGACGATTGCACCGCTGAGCAAGATAGGACGTCTGCCCCACCTGTCAACGAGGTACCACGGGGGAATGGTGGACAGGAAATAGGTGATTGAGTTGACACCAGCCATGAGCACAGCATTGCGCCCAACCCAGCCAGCAGACTCGAAAACCTTGGGAGCGTAATAACTGATGACGTTGATGCCGTTGAGCTGGGCAAGACCTTGGGCCGACATGGCGATGAACACACGGGTGCTGTATCGTCGGAACATCTCGGCGTAGGTTCGCTCGCCTTCCTGGCGCTGGAGTAGGACGTTCATCTTGATCTCGCGGTACTCCTCGCGGGCCTTGGGATTGTGGATATCACCCTTGCCATAGAGGTTGGCAATGACGACAATGCCCTCCTCGTCGTGGTCATTATCGAGAAGCCATCTGTTCACGTGTCAGGCAAGCAGCAAAAAGTCACATGAGACAGGATACCAACCTTGGAGACTCTACGATAACCAGGCTGCCGAGGCCGAGCAGAGCACCCATCACACACTGCATCAACAGAGGAATACGCCACGCCAAGTCACTTTCGATGAAGCTGCAGAAGTAGTCGACCCAGACAGAGGTGGCATAACCGATGATGTTGCCGGAGAACTCGATGCAGGCGAGCTTTCCACGGTTATGGGGAGGGGAGATCTCGGACTGGTAGACAGGCACAATGGTGGACAAGGCACCGACACCGAGACCGGCAACGATTCTACCCAGCAGCATCATGGGCATGCCGTTGGCGAATGTCTGGAAGGCACCGCCAATGAAGAAGATGATGGAGCCGTATAGAATCGTCTTGCGGCGGCCGATGATGTCTCCGACCTTACCAACAATGAGGGAGGAAATCAATGCACCAATCTCGAGAATGGCAACCATGGTGCCAATCTCGAGACTGGAGGGGTGATTGAAGTAGTTCAAGAAGTACGCGCCGCTGTGGAGCCCATGTGTTAGCGATAAGCATCGACGGGGGAGGGTGAGCGGTAGGAGACGTACGTGATGATACCGGACATTACTCCCTGATCATAGCCGAACAGGAAGACGCCTAACGATACGAAGATACTCGTAAAGTAACTACAGCATGGTCAGCCATCGTGAAGCAAAGCGCGATAAGGGTGTTTTGGAGGGGGAGGACGCACATCAGCGCCTTGCCGGTAAGGCCGTGGATTGATTGACCGCCCGACATGATGAGGCCGATGACTCGCTCCGCGCGGGTCGGACGTGGTTGGGCGATGTCTGGGACTTGGATGGCCTCCTTATTAACGACTCCACGACGTGTTGGTGATCTATCGTGGCGGTTGGGAGAGTCGAGTTGGATGCGGACACGCTTCGGTTTTGTCTGCTTGTGGGAGGGATGCCTCTTGTGGACGCCGGCTAGCAGCTCGTCTTCGATGTCGCTGCCGAGCTGGAGGCGAAGAGGGTCTTCCTCGTGGTCGAGCTGCTCAGCAATGTCCCCCGTGTCGGTCCAGGAAGACTCGTCGGAGGCGGAGCGGGAGGAATCTTCAGATGACCGCTGGCCGTGATGGTGGTGTTTGTCGTATGAAGAATCAGTGTGGGTGTGGCGGTGGTCACGGTGTTGGTGGCCGTTGTCGTCCCGATCAGATGCAAGCAATGACGTCGATTGCTCGGTCTGGTCTGGGCGGGACTGCAGGGTCCGCAAGGGGATGTTGGACGGGAGTCTTCTGCCGTTTGAGGAGGGAATCTTGGGCGGTTGATGGGGCTGATTAGCAGCAGCACCCTTCCGCTCACGAGGAATTAAAAAGGTTGGGGGGGAGAAGGGGGGATAAAAAGAATGCGTCGAGTCTAAAAGACGGTAGACACGGACAGCGAGTAAGAGGCAGCAGGATGGCGGATCAGTCAGGGTCTGTCTGCAGCAGCGGCGAGGAGCCGTATCGGCATCTACCTGGTGCTTGCTGGGTAGGTAGGTAGGTACCTAGGTAGTGTACAGCAGGGCAGGGTGCAACTGACCTGGTGAGGGGTGTGAGGTGAGAGAGAGCGTGCGACGTGCAGGCGGGCGGGCTGGCTGGCCGTAAACCGCTAGTATGTATGCAGTACAGCGAACTGGCACTCTCTGGGGATGATGATTGGGGATTGGAGGGGAAAAGATGGTTGGGCTGGAAGGGAGGGCCCAGGCCAGGCTGGAAAGACAGGCAGCGAGCGGGTGGCAGGGGGGGTGAGGGAGCGAGAGAAGGGGAACAACGCTGAAAGTACAGAGTAGAGGGCCGAGGAAGTGGAGTGGAGGAGAGGAGGCCGAGAAGGCAGGCGGGATGGGGGACGGGATGCAGCTGGAGAGGACGACGGCGTCAGTCAGTGTCCCGGTCCGGCCTGGTTTGGGGGTGGATGCCGCTTGATGCTATGGATGCAACCTCCTGCACAGTGACACACAGTGATCCTTGGGAAACCACTGGAGAGCAGGGAAATGGCTGTTTCGGCCCACTTCAACTCGCTGGTGCAGTGTGCAGCACGACTGGAAGGTCTCCACTATGGATCCACAGGTGTCTGTGTCTGCTGCTGTCTGCCTCACTCAGGTCAGGTTGCTTGTCGTCCAAAATGCGTGGGAAGAGACAAGTTATGCCTTCAGCTGTGTCTTCAGCTTGTTTTTCTTGTTTGCTTGTCTGGTATTAAACCCAAGACGTGGGCAATTGACACAGGACGGACACAACAGGGCTGGGCTGGTCTGATATGACGAACGCAACTGAACAGAAGAAGAAGCCCGGTCTGGTCTTCTTTGCGTCGCCTCGTCTGTATTGCTGGGCCTTTTTTTAGCCTTCCAAAGCAGGAATTCAGGTTCCCAGATGTTGTTGTCTGATGCTGGGCCGCGCTGGGGCACAGGTATTCTCGTACCTTTGGGTAAAGCGCACGACTCTGACTGGACAGCTCAATTGGGGATTTGGGGGAAAACTGGCCGGGGGTTCTGGTCTGCAGATACCGATAACAAGCAGATGACCAGATGCCAACCTTTTTTTTGTTCGAGAGCCTGTCGGTCCAAGGGTTGCAGCGGCGGCGGCAGCGGCAACAGCACGAAGCAACAGGCTGAAAAAGTACAGGCGCCGTTGTACTTCTAAGAAGGCGAGTCCACCTGATGCTGCCTTACGCAACGGTGCAGGAGCCGATGGGGATTCGGGGGCGGGAGAGAGAGGGAGAAATGGAGATGGAGATGCAAAAGTCTCGTTTCTGCTGCCTCGCTGTCTCTCCGTTTGGGTCGTTCCCTGCGCTTGGCGTCTAGCGTCTCTGAGGCAATCTGTCCAGTAGCGCAGATCTACCGACCTATGCCTTGGCACAAGGGAATTGAAAGAGAGAGAAAAAAGCCCCCGTTCGTCGACGAGACGAGTGAGCGAGCAGCGATAACAGCAGCCACGCGCAAAAAAAAAAAAGGGCGATGACGAAGTTGAACGGAGCTAGACAGGCCCGGTACGAGGCAAACGGTAGCGCGCCGACACCGTCGCCGTCTCGCTGGATCTGCTGGCGTCGCAGCGGTACGTCTTGGATACCGAACAGAACAGATGATGGGGGAAATGGTGGTCAATGGCAGTTGCAGGCATAAAACGAGAGGGTCAAGACGTCGGTCATGTGCCCTTTTTTTCGAGGCGGCGAGTCGGGGATGTATGGCCAAAGGAGTGTCAGATGGTCGGAATGGTTGAAGGTGGTTGACTTGGGAGCCTCCCTCGGGTGCAGCACGAGACCTCCTTTTCTTTGCCTTTCGGCTTCAGAGTTAACAGATGTTCCCTTCCCTCTTCCCCTGAAATGAGGATTATCCGAGCCTGGCGCAGGGGGTAACGAGAGCTGAGGGCGGGACACCGGGACTATGCGACTCTTGGGACAGCTGGGATCTGGGTGCCGGACGGGACGGCGTAGCCAATCTGCCAACGCAATCAAGAGATGAGGCCGTAAGAGATTGGCGGTGCAAATCCATAGGTAGGCACAGTACAGAGTAGGTACTGATTACCTCACATTCAGCACACAGAAACACCCACCCGCCTACCTAACTGATGGGAGCCAAGGTATCCGTAAGATAGTAGGTGCTCCGCCAGTGTGCTACGCGTCCCCCGTCTCGTCTCTCATCTCGTCCAATCTGCTTCAGCCCACTCGTCTCCAGATTCACAATCCCTCCACTCCCTTCCCACTTACTTTCCAGCCCGCCATGGCGCCCCCGACCGCCCGTCCGCCGCCGCCGCACGCCAACCACACGCTACATTTCCTAGCTTGGCGGCCAACCTCAACTTTACGTGCCGCAGCATCATTATCTAATTATGTGAGGCCCCCAAACTTCCAAATAGGCTGACCGCGCACGTGAAACCAAATGCTGACTCGATTTGTGGGTAGGTCCAGTTATCCCCCATCGACCCGAGGGAAAGGATCAACCGCCGTTTTCCAGTTGCAGTCGGCCTTTCGGACCATCTGCCTCCAAGGAATTCCTGTGGCCGATGACAGCCGCCCATGCATGTTTTCTGCCTGCGGTAGGGGAGGTATGCCAATTGACATTTCGCCTCCCTTTGAACCAATTAATCTTTGAGGTAACCGCAAAGCTTGAGAACACCCTCAGACGAAGATCATTCGCGGCCCGATCGTGGCGGATCGTCTCTGAATTTCGCCGGTGCGGCTCGAACATGCTAAAGTCAATTGACGATGGACATTTCATGCGTCGCCCGTCCCCGTTCCCGTCCACTCCGCCCGCCGTTCAGCACAGGCGTTTCCAGCGTCTGCCAACGGTCGCTGTGGCGAAGCACACGGCCCCGTTTCGACGACGACGATGCCGAAGCGCTTCGCCGTAGCGGACCCGCAACGGTCGGTTGCCCGCTTCCGACCCTCGACGTCATTTCTCTCAATCCCAGCGTCCTATTTTCGGGATCATCCCTCTCTGCGCTCCAAAAATCCCAGCACGTTGTCGCCGTTGCACATTGAGGGTTTATCCTGCAACCACCGCCTTACCCCAGACAATGCAACCAACTTCCAGATCTTTTCTCCTCCCAATTACCAACCGCGATAGCCTCGATATTTTGACAACTCATCATTTGTGCACTGTACATAAACCTGGACCCTGAAATGATGGCTGTCATTTTGCCGGAATCTGGCTCCACCCAACGGTCCACCTGATTCAGATTCCTGCGGGCATCGTTCGCAATCACCGTCAATCGTGGGCTCGTGGCCATACGCGGGCTTAAGAGCTGCATCGGAGCGGGGTATCGCCCAGAAAATGGTTCCCTCTCCCCGCGTCTGGTGCTCACGAGTTGTATCCCGACATGCAACTATTCTGCCTTCGTGTGGAGGGGAAATTCATACTTTTGACTAAGAATTGAAGAACGAAACGTCCCGGTCTAGCTTGTAAAGTGGACGACGTGGGGGTTTGTTACCTAAGTACCCGAGGTGCAACATAAGCAAAGGGTATCGACTGCCTTTCCAGCGAAATAATTGTAATACAGGTACGGAGCATACACCGGCCAAACGGTACAGAGCAGGGCGTCGCGGACAGTCATTTGCCAATTGCATCCAGCGCGGAGCGCTATCGTGACCGGATGCGCGTCTCAGATATCACGGCCGACGCGCTATGCGTTGCACAACAGCGTCCGCCTGCCATGTCCCTTCTTTCAGACGTCATCAAAGACATTCAAAACAAAAACAACCTTGACCTTCTTGATAAGGACCCTTCACCGCAAGTCAAGTTGCATGGGCCAAATCCAGGGTTGTGGGTCTGGTGGCGGGGATCCCTTCCAAGCGCAGGCATCGTGAGGTTGTGGAGTTTACTGACACAGCCAGCCAGCAAAAACCAAAGGAGCATACAACAACGGCCCCGGACTACACCCGCCCGATTACTACTTCGTCCGTCGCTGACATCTTCTAGACGGAGCGAAGAAGGCCTCTCGATTTGGCGATGGCTTCAATAACCTGAAGGGGCAGGCATTGCGCCTCCGAGAGGGACGGAGTGGAATATGTAATAATCCCGATTTAGATCCCTCAATTGACACCTGACACCACCGAGGTTTTCACTCCTGACAGGTGACAATTTCAGCCACTCTCACGCCCAGATTAACTTCACCAACAATGAGCGAATCAAGATCATTACCAGGCCTAGCTGTATGAGTGTTTCAATTTTATTATGTTCAATTGTTTATTTGCATCCTCAAAGCATGAGTGTTCGACTCGCCTCCGAGACTAACATCTCTAGTGTGACTACTGTCGGGTGAAAAAACTCAAGGTTCGTATGTATCCTAGGAGCAACACCAAATCTCTCCAACAGAACAGGGTCTGACATTTTCTGCAGTGTTCCAAAGAGAAACCCAGATGCGATGCCTGTATCCAGAACGCAAAATCATGTCATTACAGCGGAAGAGTCCAACGATCGCCTCTCACTCGCGCGTGAGCCTCTGCCATCCCACCCCTTTCTGACCCTGGCTGGCTCGCTAACACCAGATTCCAAGTTACTTGACGAGCGTGGAGAGCCGTCTCGCCAGCTTAGAGCATGTCTTCAAGCAAATGCTTCCAGATGTCGACATTGATCGAGCCCTTTCTGCAGATAGCCGCAGGCGGGAGGCCCCTGAGCCGCCAGCACCACACTCCCCACTACCAAACACAACGACATCCAGCGGCGATGGTAACGCCATGACGGAAGCCATGCCGGATGAGTCTGATGGCTTTGATTGGCAAGAAGATATTAATGCTCTTGCGGACGGAATGGCATCACTGTCTGTCGAGCCCAGAGGCGCAGGATACCTAGGTGAGCAAGGCCCAACGAGCGAGTGTGGGTTGTGCAGTAGGGCTAACGCAGATTCAGGCTCAACCGCAGGCGTGTTTTTCCTTCGCTCGCTGCTGGCTCTGACTGGGCACACGAAACCGCTCCTCGAGAACACGCCCAGAGCAGACGAACGCTTCAGCGCCGTTGCGGCCTCCTCCCAACTGTCCGAGGTGATCGCCTCCAGGCAGGTTATCGATCGGCTCATCGAAAGCTATTTCTCGATATACCACCGCGCATATCCGTTTGTCCACGAGCCTACCTTCAGAGCTCAGCTACACGAGGTCATTCCGCGGCCGCAACGGCGGTCATGGCTCATGCTGCTCCACACCATACTTGCACTGGGCGCTTGGTGCTTCGACGACCCCCAGGGCGAGCTGGATGATGATCTCTACCACCATGCCCTATCCTTCGGCGAAGACGAGTCTCTGTTCGAAAGCGCCAACCTCGAGTTCGTGCAGGCTCTCGTTCTTCTGAGCAACCTGAGCCAGAAACGGAACAAACCCAATACAGGCTCTAATTTCTTAGGGCTCGCCACTCGCATGTCCCTCAGCTTGGGCCTTCACCGAGAGCTGCCAGGCTGGCGCATCAATAAGTTGCAGCGGGAGATGCGTCGGCGAGTTTGGTGGGGTCTCTACATATTTGACAGCGGCGCCTCAACCACCTTTGGGAGGCCAATTCTGCTTCCAGACACAGAAGCTATGGATGTTCGACCAGTACTTAACATTCACGATGTGGTATGTGCCCCTGGTGAGATGACGGCGCGGGCTGCGTGCGCTTCTGCTTCTGACATTCTATACAGAGCCTGACAAGCAGGACGACGGAACTGCCCGTGGAAGTCGATGAGCCGACGCTGTACTCTGGTCTGAAGATGCAGAGCCACCTCCACGTCCACTCCAACTTCATCTCGAATCGATTGCTGTCGTCCTCGGGCATATCTCCCGAGAGTGCGCTCTCCATGGATGCAACGCTGAGCAAGTGGTCCGAGTCGCTACCCGCGTATTTCCACTTGGATTATGACGGGCCCTCCGCCGGGCCCTTCTTTCTGTTCACCAAGTCACGGCTCTGGTGGCGGTTTTGGAATCTCAAAATCATTCTTTTCCGACCTCTAGTGCTGCAGCAAGCTGTCAGCAAGAGCAGAGGGAACACTCAAATTACTTTCAGCTCGTCTGATGAACGGTGCAGAAGCGTCGCCGTTCATGCCGCCAGCGCATCAATCGCATCCATCAACCACTACACCAAGCACGGGGACATCACCAGGCTGGTTACGTGGTATTCAATGTAAGTCACTCTCTGTCACGAAACCGCAGTGTAATCTTGATCGTGAGACAGCTCTAATGCTTGTGTATTACAGTTTCTTCTTGTTCCATGCGTCCCTAGTGGTTGCACTCGTCATGATCGTTGACCCGGAGTCGCCCGATGCGCCCCAGTGGCAAGTCCATCTTGATACAGTCCGCCATATATTTCGCCATGTCTTTGCCAAGGATCAGCTGGCCGCTCGCTGTGCCGCCATCCTCGACGAAATCCTAATGCCCGGCTACTTCACTGGGTCAGACGACTTGCCAACCGTTGATCCAGACTCCTGGTCGATGAACTTCTCCACGTGGCCAGCCGAACCAACCGATGACTTCTTCAGCTTCCTGGGATGGCCCGGACCAGAAAACTTGGAAATGTAGATATTCGGAAGCTTATCTAGCGGACGATGCCTAGTTCAGAATGCGGACTGTGGGCTCAATCAGGTTGGAGCGAATATGATCGCCATTCGGTACGTCGTTCTCGTCTACACGCAAAAGGGCCCGCTCCATCGTTGTCTCAATACCAGCCCTCAAATGCCGGGACGCGAGCCGTTGTCGTGCCACATCTGTCGGGACGTCGACAAACCACCTACGTTGCATATTAGCGGAAGCAGCGCCAGCAACCTGACAGCAAGGGAGAACCTACCTGTCGTCCACAAGATCGGCAATGCTGTTCCATGGATCCTCGTCGAGGAGCGTATAGTTGCCTTCGATTATGACCACCTTCGTCCGAGACGAGATGGCGATGGCGTCTGGAAGGGGATCCTTCACTGCATGGTCGAAGCTGGGAGCGCTAATCACGATCTGTGGCTCATCACATGTCGTCACCGGCACCGTCTTCAGTCGCCGTATAAGCTTCAAGAAGCCTTGTGCGTCAAAGGTAAATGGTGCACCACGTCGCTTGAGGGCCAAATCAGGGTCGTCGAAGGAGGAAAGAACGGCGCGCGGGTAATGAAATCCATCCTATCATTGGCGTCATGGTGAGCGCACAAAATAGTAGTCAAGAAAGGAAGGTTGACGAACCATCGGAAGGATTGCAACATCGTCAACTCCGTGTCTCTTCAAATCGTCAAGGAGTGTGGCCGCGATGGTAGACTTGCCGGACCCTGGAACGCCAGCCAAAGCAATCAAAACCCGGCAAGACGGTCGAGAACGCCTCTGCTCAGCGAGGAGGTTCTCTACGCGCTCGCGCAGTTTGGCGACTGTTCTCGTCTGGTTTTCATACATGGCGCTGGACTCGGGGCGAAGGGTCTCTACGTAAGATGAGGCAGGCACGCGCTCAAACATGGCATGGGAACTTGGGTTGTCCCGTCAAATATTTCGGCATGGGAGATCTAATCATGGAGACTTGTATTGTGCTGGGACACCCACCCAACCGGCCGGCGGGAGTCCATCGTAGCGCATCGTTATGTTGCATTGCTATTACGCCGGATTCCTGCCGTCCGGGGGTTGAGGAGAGGTTCCATAGGCCGAACCATTGTTGGCCGACAAGTGGAGTAAACCCTCGCTGCCTCCAGCAAAATCCATCAAGATCTGCGTCCGTCTACGGAGGATGAAGCCAGCCTCGCATTGGCCCGGACTGCTGCAGTCCGGAGCCACCTGCTCACCCACAATAACTGGGACTGCGATGGAGTCACCCCTCACTCGCGGACTGCATATAAGTACCCCAGAAAACTCTCCGCAAAATTCCCCGGATTCGACAACTCGTGTTAGATCGGCCGTTACTTTATCTCTTTAGCTGCAACCTTCCACGTTCAAATATGGCAGGTGAATTTGTCACTGCTGAGGGCGGCACGACCCCGGACGTCGTGATGCCCAAAAAGTCTGTTTGGCGGGTGCTTCGCGAAAACCCATACGTTTTTGGACTTTCAGCAGTAAGCGACTTCAGATATCTCCTGTGGCTGAAATGCAAAAGTGCTGACACAACTTTCAGTTCGCGTCCCTTGGTGGGCTTCTCTTTGGCTATGATCAAGGCGTCGTGTCAGGCGTGATGACTATGGAGTCGTTCGCGGCCACATTTCCCCGCATTGCCATCGACAGCACATTCAAGGGCTGGTTCGTCTCGACCTTGCTGCTTTTTGCCTGGTTCGGCTCTCTCATCAACGGTCCCTTGGCCGACTGGCTTGGCAGGAAGGGCTCGATGCAGCTCGCCGTGGTCATCTTCATCCTTGGCGCCGCCTTCCAGACAGCGGCAAGCGATGTCCCGCTACTGTTTGCCGGTTGGTACCGAATTTGCCTGTCTGATATATCCACATAGCTAATCAAGACCTAGGTCGTGCCATTGCGGGATTTGCTGTCGGCATGCTGACGATGATTGTCCCCATGTACATCTCCGAGCTGTCTGTGCCTGATATCCGTGGCACGCTCGTCGTCTTGCAGCAGCTCAGCATTACCCTGGGCATTCTTGTCAGCTACTGGCTAGAGTACGGTACCCAGTACATCGGCGGAACCCGGTGTGCTCCCGATATCCCATACACCGGCGGCACCTCAGAGCTGCCCACGTTCGATCCCCGCTCTGATGTCGGACCTGGCGGGTGCACTGGTCAGTCCTCTGCCTCATGGAGAGTTCCGTTTGGGCTTCAGATCTTTCCCGCACTGGTTCTGGGTCTCGGCATGGTCTTCTTCCCAGAGTCCCCGCGGTTCTACCTCATGCGTCACAAGGAAGACAAGGCCCTTGCAGCACTGGCCAAAGTACGCGGCTTGCATCCCGATACCGAGTCTCTTCGCGCCGAATACCTTGGAATTAAGGCCGAGGTCCTCTTTGATGAGACACTGAATCGTGAGAGGTACCCCGGCAAGAAGGGTCTCTCACTCTTCATCGCACAACACCAAGCTCTTGTATCGTCATGGCCAGCATTTAGGCGTCTAGGGTTAGGGTCTGGGACGATGTTCTTCCAACAATTCATTGGTTGCAATGCCGTGATCTATTACGCCCCTACGATGTTTGCCCAGCTTGGCCTCTCTGGAAAGACATCTGGGTTGTTGGCGACGGGGGTGTACGGCATCGTGAACACGCTCTCAACTTTACCCGCCCTCTTCCTCATCGACAAAGTGGGCCGCCGCCCTCTGCTCATGTGTGGGGCCGCTGGTACCTTCATTTCACTTGTCATTGTGGGCGGAATCATTGGCGGGTTCGGCGAGTCCCTCCGCACGAACAAGTCAGCAGGCTGGGCTGGTATTGCCTTCATCTACATCTACGACATCAACTTCTCCTATTCGTTTGCCCCTATCGGCTGGGTTTTGCCCTCCGAAATCTTCAACCTGGGCAACCGATCGAAAGCCATGGCCATCACCACGAGCGCGACCTGGATGTGCAACTTCATCATCGGACTTGTGACCCCGGACATGCTCGAGAAGATTGGGTACGGGACTTACTTTTTCTTCGCCGCTTTCGCTCTCATCGCCTTCGTAATGACATACTTCTTCGTCCCCGAGACACGTGGAAAGAGCTTGGAAGAGATGGACTTGGTGTTCGGCGACACGGCGGCACACGAGGAGAAGACCCGGCTGCTCGAAATTGCGGCTTCCATGGGACTGACAGACGTGTTGTCGGATGAGAAGCTTGGCACCGACGTCAAGCACGAAGGTTGAGAGATGTACGTAATCTCACCTTGAAGAAAGGTCGATAATCTAGCTGGGAATACGTGATGTTCAGTTGTCACAATATGCTTATATACCCCGAAGCAGTTGGGGCAGTAACCCAACCCAACGACTTACACAAATAATCACAACTAGTAATGTTGTTTTAATCAATATGAAGCGGTATGAAGCAGCATGCTGGTCGTAATACTTACACATATGTCTTTCTGTTTGCTTTTGCCCCTTGGTGCATGTCGTTACAGGTTCGCATGGAGTTGTCGACGACCATCACCGAGACACTCGGCAACCTGGCGCGCAGCATTCTTTCCCTGCTCAATAGCACCGTCAATAAAGCCCCTGCAACCATCCGCGCTGTCTGAACTCGCAAAGAATACCCTCCCATGCGGCCTCTGAAGCTCTCGCAGGTACCTGCTCATCGCATCCCCCTTCCAACAGCTCCACTGGCCACCAGCCATCGGGTCGTTCGACCAGTCGTGGCTGAGGTACGCCGTGATCTCCGCACCCGGCTTCACCGCGCGCTTGAATTCATCCACCACCCTCGCGTGGTCCTGGAGGTTGGGGTAGACTCCGCTCCGGAGCGCGGCCAGGCAGGAGGTCCCGTCTGGCCCCGTGCTCTTCGTGCCGTTGTGGTCGGAAAACGCCAGCAGGTACGGGGTCGATCCGTCGGGCGCGGTTGTGGCGAACCAGCCGGGCTCCATCTTGGCGAGCCGGAAGTGGACCTTGGCTCCCTTGTTCTGGTGGCCGTAGTCGACGGCCTCGCGCCGCAGAGGGCTCAGGGGAGGGTCAAACGCGACTCGGCTCAGACAGTTGCTTGCGAGAAGTGGTTAGTTCAGCCTGAAAAAGATTGAGGCGATGGCCCGCTGCTGCCGACTTACAGAGGAATCGTCGAGACGACGAAGCCGGCGCTAAATACTCGGCCCTCTGCGGTGGTGATTCGCACGGCCGAGCTTGTCTGCTCGATCGCGGTGACGACTTGCCCAAACAAGAGATCCCCCGTGAACTCTCCCCGGATTGCTTTGGCAAAAGACGTCATGCCCCCGTTGCCAAGCTTGAAGAGACCGCTGAGGTCGTACGCTCCCGCCATCGAATGTCCCCCTAGAGCGTACCACCGGAGGACCTCCGTGAAGGAGGTATCAGCTGCATAGTTGCACCCGAACAAGTTCACCAGTGAACTGAAATAGTCCTTCTCCAGGTCCGTGATGTCGAGCTGGTCGAGCCGGTCCTGCACGGTCAAACCATCGTATTGCTTCCAAGGCGCGGGCTCCCGAAAGGGCTCGTGTGGGAACGGCATCAGGCTTTGGCTCGTGTTGCCGTCAACACCGAAGAAGAGGGCAGCCACCCTCTCGGCAGCGGCCCAGTTCATCTCAGACGTCAACTGCTTGACCGTGCCTTTTCGAGGCTTGAAGAATGCCTTCGCGTCGGAACAAGCCCCGGCGGAAGCCTTAAGGTTGCGATGAAGTCCGTACCGATGGAGTTCGTTGTAGACGTGCGGTTGGCACCTAAACTGCCTCAGTCGCTCCGCTTCCATAAATCCGCAAAAGAAAAAGGGGGTATGCCGATGCTAGTCACGTACCAGTGCACCCAGGTGCCGCCCATCTCAAACTCCTCGCCGAGGACGGATGCGGTCCAGGTTCGCCCGCCTATCCTGTCGCGCCCCTCGACTAGCAACACGTTTACTCCTGGTTGCTTCGCCAGATCACGGGCTGCGACGAGGCCCGCAAAGCCTCCGCCAATGACGACGACGTCATAAGATTGCTTGATGTGACGAGAACCCGGCAGCACGGCTGCTGTTGGTAGTCCTTCAGTTGTGCCCTCAGGAGTCCAAAGATAACCCTCCTTGGACCGTGACATGGCGGGAAACGACGTCATGTAGTTATATCGGGTACAGTTTACATGGAAAATGTGTAAAATAGACACGATTTATGGCAGCGAAAGCAATTTGGTTGACAACGTATTTAAACGTAGATGGTGTACAACGCCGTCAACCGACAGCTCGCCAGCCCGTTCTTCTAGGCATGTTGTGAGAAGTAGTTGCCCATCTTGGAGATTGTTGCCGGCAGCTGGTATCTTCCTCTTAACCCACCGGAAGCTGGTGACTCGTTCTCAGCTCAGACTCGTTCCCTGGAAAGTAGAGCGGCATGGCAGGCGGCGTTCCGAAACTCGACGGAATGCCTCTCACCTTGAATTCATTGCCGACGAGGCTCGAAAGCGCCGATCCACCATTTGTACATTTTAGGGTTATGGACTAATCAAAGAACGTTAGCAGATTTGCAAGGTAAGGAAGAGTATTCGTGGTGATAAGGAAATAGCGATGTGGATTTGGCTGGGCTGCGGAAAATTATGCGGAAACGGTCTATTCAAGTAAGAAATACCCGACTAGACGAGATCCTTTCGGAGACGGAATCTCAACCGGAACTCGACCGGAAGCCGGAGGCTCTCGTACGTGAAAAACTACCGTATCAGGAAGGTATTCACTTCACTCCTCGATGCCGGCGATAAGGCACCTCCCATGTCTTCCTCGTCGAAGACTAGGGTAACAGCAGCACCCGGTAGTATTCCTCCTCTTGTCAATAAGCTCTCAGTCACCAATTTCGCTTAGTCAAGTTGAAACTACTATTGTTTGTCGACAAAGGAACAAAGGAAGGAAGTAGAGATGCCATTTAACCACATGGCAAATGTTCCTGTCTCGCAATTGTTACCAACCTTCGCCTTCTCTATATTGTCCCTCTAGCCACCTAAAGCTACTGTGAGAACTTACAAGCATCATCAAACAAACATCGAAATGCCCGATCGCGCACCACCTCTCTACGCCTCGGCGGTACAATTCTCAAGTCCGCCGGGAGCACTCTCCACCGTCGGGGCCGAGCTGGGAATCTCCCAGGCGGTCTGTCTTCCCGCCAACGGGTCGATTGTGATCACATCCGGCCAGTGTGGTTTCCGTGACGATCTCTCAATCTCGCCCCGTCTTGATGAGCAGATTGAACTGACACTCCTTAACGCTCAAAAGACGCTGCGAGCCGCTGGAGTCGACAACGGCCTGACGTCTGTGTACCAGATCACGCTCTACGCCCTTCAGATTGATGACGAACTGGTTCGGATATGGAGAGAGATGAAGAGGAAGTATATGGGTTCCCACGCGCCGGTGGAAACCGGTGTCACCGTTCCAGCGTTATATGGAGGGGCGAAGGTGGAAATGACTTTCTATGCCGTGGGAGGTTGAGGTTTTGGTCCAAGCCAAAGGCTGTAGTTTTACTTCGCAGAAAACGAGTACCGCTAGTTATTAAATGATTGAATTAGCGGTGGAGAACTGAAGCATTTCGTGAGTCCTTAATATTTTTCAAGCCTCCGCATGACTATATGGGAAAGAAACTCTTAGGCGCTGAATTCGGATGATGTAGGGCACGGCACTGCATTTGAAATGTAGTATGATGTCCTTTGAGCAGTGTAGCTCCGAAGAAAAGAAGTGAAACACATCCGATATGGATGTGACATATAAAATTTTAAGCAGGTATCTTATACGAGCTGCCCTGGTGGTAGCCGCTGCTTTTCCTTGTAATCCCTCATTACCTGGACAGTGCTGGTTGGTTTTGTCTGTGCGAAGAACGAAGTCTCTCACAATGTTTAGTTCTACCTATACTCTATCACTATGTCCTGGAAACTGGCCATTCAAAGGTGTCAAGATGATCGGGAGATGGAACTGTTTTCTTCCCTTCAAAGTGTAGTACAATACCCCGAAGACTGACCACCCGACCATGACCCCAGTTGAGTAGTTCATCGTTTCCCAGCTGACAGGTATTTGGCTAGGGAACGCGCTGAAAGCAATTGATAGCACCATGAACGCAATGGCAATCACGTTGAGAATGGGCCCAACACAGCCGCGCAATCTGAAAGGCCCGTACTCCGAAACGCTCAACTTCCTGCGGCCATTGAGAAGCATTCCGACAATGGGGAGAGCATATGATGTGTATGTACCGATGATTGCCATGGAAAGCACGGCATTGAAGGCGGTAGTGTTGCCCAAGTAGATGAAGCCAATGAGCATTTGCAATACTAATATGACATAGATCGCATTTGCTGGAATCTGGCTTCGCTGGTCCACTCGCCCGATCAGTTTCGAGTAAGGCACGGCCTCATCGCGAGCGAACGCCCATAATGTTCTCGACGTTGATGTCAACGCGGCACAGCAAGCGGCCCCGGCTAGAACAATGAGCAGCAGCGACATCGTTGTCGCGCCTGTGGCGGACTGGGTTGCGTCAAGGTAAATCTGCATCACCGGAAAACCAAGAGGTGTGGCGAGAACACCCTCCAGTTTGCTCGTGGAGAAGAGGATTATGATGGCATACGCAAGCCCCATGAGCCCATTGAGTACGATGCTTCCAATCATCGCAAGCGGTACATTGCGGGCAGCGTTAGGCAGTTCCTCAGCAAGATGGCAAGCAGCGTCGTATCCGAGGAATGGGTATACCGTGCTGATCAAGCCGACCAGCCAGGCAACGCCGTCGCTCGACCAGCCGGTTTCGTTGTAGACGTCGGTGAAGACGAATGAAGCGCTGTGCTTGTCGGACATGACTGAAAGGACGACAAGAATGGCCACAAAGCCGACAACATGCAGTACGCCTATTTCACAAAGCCAGATGTTAGAGGGTTGGATGTCTAAGTAAGTCATGAAGCCGTCGACTTGCCTGAGACGAGGTTGGCAGTAGGCAGAAGCTTGCTGCCCCACAGATTCATGGCTGTTCTGTAGAACAGAAATACCCAGTATAGTAGAAGAGCCTGCCATCGGGTAGGTCTGTAACTTTGGGAGTTCATGGTGATGAGTGCCTGGGTCATTAGCCCACAGGCAAAGGCAATGGACGCTGTTAGAACGATCTGTCCTCCGATGGTGATCCAGCCGGTCATCCAGGCCATGAACTTTCTCCCTAGCACCGGATATAATGCAGTGACCCAGTGGTACTGTCCTGCGGTGAAGGTCAGGGGATATTGCTTCCGCGATTGTTCATTTGTAATTGGGAACTCACCCCCGGCGGTAGGATAGATGGACGCGATTTCACCGAGAGATAACCCAATCGCGATAGTACATAGAAAGGTGAAGATGCCAGAAGCGACATCAGCGTAAAACTAACCAGCGTGATAGAATGAAAGGCATACTAATTGTAAAGAAGGCATGGTGCCCCTCCACTTGTCAACGCCTGAGCTATGACACTGGAACATCCCTCCCAAGTGCCCATCAAGCACAAACAAAGAGCTATCAGCGAGGGGAGGGAGAACACGCGATTAAGTTTGCTTTCGAGCCCCAGCTGGCCTAGACGTTCGTCATCAATATTGGTAGCCTTCTCTGGTGCCCTGGGCGAGGTTGCCCGGACGAGACTGTCCCCATCATGTCGTTTATCTGTCGTCATCTGGACTTAAAACCACAGCAACAAGAATTGGCTGCCAAAGAATATCTGCGGAGACAGATACTTGCTAAAGCTTAGGGATCCATTCAAGCTTTAAATAGAAATGTGTGTCTTTAGAGGGCGATTGACTTCAACACTCGTGTTATGTCTTATCCCTGCTTTTCCTGTGAAGTTTCATAGACATAAGTTCCTTTCCTGATCAGATCAACCTTAGTCCGGTGCAAATTAAGACTCAGATAACGTTCCTCCTGAGCTCTGCTGTATGCCTCACTAGATATTGATGCCTTCCTCTCCTGCTAAGCTATCAGAAGTGATGTCTGGACCTGCTTATCGCAGCAGGATAGGAGGAACGACGATCGGGAGATGGCAGCTGGTTGTATTATCTTAGAACGGAAATAACGCGCGATTGAAATGTTACATCAGTCAGACTAGTGTGGATGCAATTCGCGGCAGCGGAATGAACCTGATATCATCGGAAAGACCCTCGGAAGGTGGGGCCATCTGCATCCTACCCCATGCATGAGTTTCCAATCGATGCAAATGCAGTTCCGTTGGTCGGATTATCTGATGATGCTGCTGCTTTATTAAATAGAGGGTGTATACTTCTTCTGATGACCCGGCTACTCCAGGTATGTTGAGCCATCAGATCACACACTATCATGCTACGCCTCAGAAGAATTTCACGGACAAGTCCCTCCAGCCGCAGGGTTCTGGCGAGCGAAGGTCGGCGATGTTTCGCAACAAACACAAATGTTCCGTTGATCATCGACGGCAGGGACATCGAAACCCAAACTCGATTTGATGTGACAAGCCCCTTGACTGGGACAAAGATCTGGTCGTACACTTGTGCTACGAAACAACATGTCAGAGATGCAATTCGAAGTGCTCAGGATGCGTTTCCTTCCTGGTCTCAAACTAAGGCATCACACCGTCGAGATATTTTTCTCAATGCTGCGAACATCATGGATAGTAGGAGGAATGAACTGGGAGATTACATGCATCATGAGATTGGTGCTGGGCAAGATTATCAGGATTTCATTCTAGGCCTGGCCATCGAAGGATTCAAGGACACAGCCGGAAGGATTTCGGGAGCAGTCTCAGGCGTTCTACCAGAATCTAACCTCCAAGGAATGAAAGCCATGGTATGCAAAAGGCCGTATGGCGTTAATGTCGGAATCGCTCCATGGCAAGTTGATGTTCGATGACTCCATCCCCTGCTGACTTGACGGTCTCTAGGAACGCTCCATATCATCTGGGGTTGAGATCCGTTCTTTTTGCCTTGGCAACAGGAAATACAGCCATTTTGAAGGGAGCAGAACTGTCGCCTAGATGTTACTGGGCTATTGCCGACGTCTTTCGTGAGGCTGGTCTTCCTGAGGGGTGCTTGAATCTCATCTTTCACGCACCCTCGGATGCGCCAGCTATCATTGACGAGCTAGTCAGTCATCCGGATGTCAAGAAAGTCAACTTCACAGGAAGTAGTCAAGTTGGGAGCATCGTTGCGGAGATGGCTGGCAGACATCTCAAGCCGTCTTAATGGAGCTCGGAGGCAAAGCGAGTGCCATCGTGTTGCCAGATGCAGACCTTGACAACGCTGCGCTACATTGCGCAAAAGGTGCCTTTATGAATGTGAGTACTCAATATCTCACGTAAATCGAGAATTGGTCACTAAGAGGTGGGAACTTAGGCGGGTCAAATTTGCATGTCAACTGAGCGTATCATCGTTCACGAGTCCATAGCGGACAACTTCCATAAGGCGCTCGTTGTTGCGACCAGAGATCATTTCGGATCTAAAGACTCGACTCCTGTGCTCGTCACAGTGGCGTCGGCACGTCGAAACCGGGATCTTGTTGCGGATGCGATGTCGAAGGGGGCAACCTCCATGACGCCGAAAGAGCAGCTCGGCGGACTGCCCGAAACTCGAATGGCGCCGATGTTGCTGAAAGATGTACACAAGAAAATGACATTATATCAGACGGAATCATTCGGTCCTAGTGTGTCCCTTTTTACCTTCAAGTCCGAAGACGAGGCAGTGAGTCTTGCCAACGACACAAAATACGGCCTCAGTGCGTCCGTCTTCACCAGAGACCTTGGAGCTGCATTTCGCATTGGAGAGTCCCTAGAGTCTGGTGCGGTTCACATCAACTCAATGACCGTTCATGATGAGTATTCGTTACCTCATGGCGGAGTCAAGCAGAGTGGCTTTGGTCGCTTCAATGGATGTCAAGGGCTGGATGAGTTTATGTACTACAAAACTATCACTTGGATGGAGTGATCAGTCTCACGCGGTCTATCATGAAAGACATCCTCTTACTGCCTGCTAATTAGCGTTTGGAGTCAAGACAAAGCAGAACTGGGCTCTGCGTATTTTGCTCAAGACTTTGGCGCGAAATATACGTCTGTAGGCTTTTACCGCTTTCTGTGTCTATGAGGCAATGAGTTGCCCGCGTACAAGGGCAGAGTTCGTTCAAGTTTGCACCGAAAAGAATGACTTCTGTATGGCTTGCCAATCCCATGGGTCAATAAGCAACATGTATCCGAATACGCGTATGGCTTCAAATGCCGACATATACTCGTAAATTCCCATGCCAATCACTTTTGCCCCGCATTTTGATCTCCAGACTTACACCATAATCAAATGTCGAGCAACTGTGAATGCGAAAGCGAACCGGTTTGGTGGCTGAGCGAGGCATCATTGCTTCTCGGGGTAGACTATGACGAGACACAAACCGCAGTCGACCTCTGAGAAGCGCACCAAGGCGGAGCCGGCTCTTCTCATCGTACGGCATGATGAATGTAACCTTGAGCTGTGGTCAATGAAAGCAGCTAGCTGTACGCGGATATTCTTCCTGGATTTTCGATCCACGGTCAAGAATGGTCGTCTTGAACATGGAGAGAAGAGAAGAATTGCATCATGCGAGGGAAAGACTCAGTAAAACCTCCCAAGTATAAGTGTTCGCCATCTGCAATCCCACAAAAATGATTTCTTGGAACAAAAGCCTCTTCACCTATCACCTCATCGGCAATATTTCGCCGTGATACCGTTGAAATGAGGCCTCATCTCTTCAGCTGGCTTGCTCTCTTGATGCTCCCCTGGGCCCAAGCCCTGATCACCCGAGCAAACACCACGGCCCCAAGTCAAGATGTAGTGACATGGGACTACCACTCCCTATTCATCAATGGCGAAAGGATCATCATCATGTCTGGGGAGTTCCATCCTTGGCGCCTCCCCTCTCCAGGCCTATGGCTCGACGTCTTCCAAAAGATCAAAGCTCTGGGTTACAATGGAGTTTCCTTCTATGTCAACTGGGCCCTAGTCGAAGGTCATCCTGGAGAGGTTCTCATGGATGGAATTTTTGACCTCCAGCCCTTCATAGACGCCGCCGTCGAAGCGGGGCTCTATCTCATTGCTAGGCCCGGGCCATATGTCAACTCGGAGCTATCTGGCGGCGGGTTCCCTGGCTGGCTCCAACGAAACAAGGGCGAGTTGAGATCCATGGCGCCTGACTATCTTAACGCTACTTCTACCTATGTTTCCAAGGTTTTAGAAGTCATTTCTGCAGCTCAGATCACGAAAGGGGGCCCTGTCATATTGGTCCAGCCCGAGAACGAGTACAGCTTGGCAAACATACCGAACATCGCAGAGTCTTACAAAGTTCTTGACCCAAAGTACATGGAATTCATGAAGAAGCAGTTCCGGGAGAATGGTATTGAACTACCCCTGATCAGTAACGACGCCTTCCCTTTGGGAAACTGGGCACCCGGATCTGGCGAGGGGGAATTGGATATCTATGCTCACGACACATACCCCCTTTACGGTGGATGTGAGTCTGCCAAGATGCGAGATACTAGACTCCAAAGCTGACTTACTTCTCAGGTGGTGACCCAGCGAACTGGACATCTCTGACCCCATTGAGTCTTACGTACACGTACCAGAACCATCTCCAACAAAGCCCGAGTACCCCGTACTCGATATTGGAGTACCAAGGCGGCGCACCCGACCCTTGGTAGGTCCAACTCATCGCTGCCATTTTACAATCGGTAGCACTGCTAAACAGACACAGGGGTGGCGTTGGGCTCGACAATTGTGCAGCGCAGATCAACCAAGACTTCGCCCGTGTCTTCCTCAAAGACCTCATTGGTCGATCCATAAAGATACTCAACCTCTACATGGTAAGTAATTAACCTTAGTCCATTACCTTCAGAATGGATCTGACAGACCAAATAGACATTCGGCGGTACAAACTGGGGCAATATGGGCCACCCAGAGGGATACACCTCCTATGACCATGGCGCCTCTATCCGCGAGAACCGCGGAATCGATCGCGACAAGTACAGCGAGGCGAAGCTTCAGGCACATTGGCTGCATGTATCCAAGGCCTACTTGACTTCCGTACCCGAAAACGCTACGACGACGGAATTTGTCAGCACACCTGAATTTCAAGTCGTTCCAGTGTCAAGCAACGACACGCGATTCTATGTGCTCCGTCATGTTCAGTACGACACATTCGAGAGGACGGGTTACACGCTCACTGTGCCCACGACTTACGGTAATGTTGGGCGGTGAGCTGTCCCTCCACGGGCGCGACTCAAAGATCCACGTCACGGATTACGACGTCGGCGGTGTCCATCTGGTGTACTCTTCTGGTGAAATCTTTACGTGGAAGAAGTATCAAGACAGGAGATTGCTGATTCTATACGGCGGAGATGGCGAAGAACATGAGTTTGCCGTACCATCGTCGTTGGGTGAGCCAATCTTTGAGGACGGGGTCAATGTGACAAGCTGCGAGATTGACCGACTGCGTATTTTTCACTGGAAAGTCCAGGAATCTCGGCAAGTTGTATACTTTGAGGGTCTGGAGGTTCATCTTCTTTGGAGAAACGACGCTTATAAGCACTGGATTGTTGATCTCCCCGACCCGGCGACGGGGGTCGTCTCGCCAAGGGAGGGTGAAGCTTCTGTCATCGTCAGAGGACCATATCTCGTGCGCAACGCAACGTTCTCCAACAACACTCTACATCTGACTGGAGACCTCAACGAGACCACGACGCTGGAGGTCCTCGGCGGCGTACCCGAGAACGCCTGTCTTACCTTCAACGGCCAGACCCTTGAGCCTCTTCGACAAACTGGTGGACGCATTGAGGCCGACATCTCCTTTCACACACCAGACCTCGCACTCCCGGACCTTCATTCCCTGAAATGGCATTCCACCAACTCTCTCCCTGAGATCCAACCCGACTATGATGATTCCGCCTGGACACCAGCATCCCTGACCGAGTCCAACAACCCACGAAATCTCACAACCCCAACGTCTCTCTACTGCAGTGACTACGGCTACCACGGCGGCTCCCTCATATACCGCGGTCACTTCACCGCTTCCGGCGCCGAGTCCCTCTTCAACATCACCACCTCCGGCGGGCAAGCATATGGACATTCGGTCTGGCTCGACAGCACCTTTCTTGGCTCATTCAAAGGGGACCCTCACGTATCTAACTTTACCCAAGCATTCCAACTTCAACCCCTCGATGCAGGAAGCGATCACACCTTGACTGTGGTGATTGACCACATGGGTATGCCGATGAACTTCTACGTTCACTCTGAGGCGATGAAAACGCCTCGCGGAATCCTCGACTACTCTCTCGCCGGACACCAGCAGTCTGACATCAAATGGAAGTTGACCGGAAACTTTGGAGGCGAGGGGTATGTTGACAAGACGCGAGGGCCCCTGAATGAGGGAGCGATGTATGCTGAGCGGCAGGGGTACCATCTCCCCGGCGCACCGTCGTCGAACTGGACGGTTGCGTCCCCCTTGGAGGGAATCACGAGCGCGGGCATTCAATTCTATACGACGATATTTGACTTGGATATGCCGGCTGGGTACGATATTCCGCTTAGCTTTGTGTTTGAGAACGTGACGAACGAGGGGAAGCCGGCGATCTTTCGAGCGCAGCTGTTTGTGAACGGGTATCAATTTGGTGAATACGGTAAGATCATGAATTTTACAACCTCCGCATCTTGTGGGAATCTGGGATAACTAACTTGCTGTGTAGTCAACCATCTCGGCCCGCAGACCCGCTTCCCAGTTCCTGAGGGGATATTGAACTACAATGGCGTGAACACGGTTGCAATCACCTTGTGGGCATTCGAAGCGACGGGAGCTCGCCTTCAGGGCCTCCAAATTTCAGCGGACCATGTCATTCAGTCGGGCTATCGAAAGCCGGGCCAGACGAAACAGCCAGGCTGGGAGACGAGACCTGGGGCTTATTGATGACCAGGTGCGGGCGCGAGGGCTTCAAAAACAATCTTCGGGACAATGGACGTCGTTACTTTGATTCTTGTATTTATTAAAACAGAGGTGATTTTTCTTCATCAGATCGGATCCTAATTGTTGTACATTATCTGGCCGCGAGCCCACCTTCTTTTGGGCGGTCGCTGACACAGGTCTCTTGTCTTCTCGTCTATAACCCTTTTGTCGTTGAAGTCTTTGCCGCAACCGACCGTTGCAATCGACCGTTTTTTTTTCAGGCTCAACCCCAGACTCCTCGTCTATCCATCAAACGCCGTGCCTCGTCAAGGCTCTTTGTATGTAGTTAAGTGTTATTTATTTAAGCATGTTGTCGAAAGCAGGGATAAGGGTCTGCGCCAGCCAGAAGGAGAAGACCAGCTTGGGACCAGTCATGAGGAGCTAGAGAGGCAAGCTATTAGCTGATGCACCACGTCAGGCATGAACGGAGTTTCTGTTTACCTTGGGGACCAATCCCTTGAAGAAGGCGGTAGCACCCTCGTTCTTCATCATGTTAGAGATGATCCTGAAGCCGGTCTCGGGGTTCTCGAAGTTGCGGTTCTGGATACGGGTCTTGATGACATCGAGGGGAGCGGAGACGAGGAGAGATGCGGAGGCACCGGCGATGGAGGCGATGAAGTTCTGGAACCACGAGGCCTTGTTGTAGTCGCTCAGGCCGAACATGTACTCCTTGGTGAAGGCAGAACCACCGAACAGCTGTTGTTGCGATTAGCCATGTGCCTTGATCATGCTAGGTTTGTGTTGTACATACCGCGAAGGAGCCAGGAGCGTTACGGGCGGCAGTCCAGCCCCATCCTCTGTACAGGCCGAAGCCCTCGTCGGCGACGATCTTGAGGACACCACGGCCGCGGAAGGCCTCGGGGTTGGTCTGTCTCTTGATCTTCAGGACATCCAAGGGAAGGAGGACGATCTCTCCAATTCCGATCAAACTGTTGCCGTCGGCCGTCAGTCGCCAAACTTCAATTGCGCAATGGTGGGGTATCTGTCGACTCACCTGCCAGCGGTGGAGTGCATGATGGCCTTGCCAGTCTTCTTGCCGAAGGCATTCTCAAAGTCCTTTCCGTAGTGCTGGTTCAGGAAGTCCCTGGCGACGGGCTGGCCGCCGTACTTGTATATTCTTTGCAGAACCTTGTAGCCGGCGGCGTAGCCCAGACCGGGGAAAAGCGACACGAACTTGCGACCGAGCGGGGCAGAGGCCTTGTCCTTGAAGATGACGGCGTTGAGCTGGTCCATACCAGAAACCTTGAGACGAATGCTTGTGTCAGCTTTGCGGCCTCAACGTCCAGTTCGGGGATCCTTCGTTGTGCTGGTGTACCTTGGTCTGGTTGCTCATCAAGCGCTTCGCGATGGTGTCGACCTAGAGCTCCATGTTAGTTCCCCATCCATCATGATTTCTGTTTGGTGAAGAGAAACTTACGGGGTGGAAGACAGCCAATTCGGCAATACCAGCGGAACCTGTGAGAATCGTTTCGTCAGCGCGGCCGAGCTTTCACCTGTGTCGCAGACACGGGCGCAAAGGGCAAAAAAAAAGTGCTCGTACCGGAACCCAGTAGTCGCGCGGTGTTCGACTCCTTCTCCTTTCCTCCGGCCATAGGGGGAGACATCTTAAATTTATATAAACAAAAAAGGTTATCGAAAGAGTTAAGATATCCTTAGTTGGAGATGTTCAGGCTCCGGAGGTTTGTCGTCGATTGGCACGGCGCTCGAGAGGAGGAGAGAATGGGTCGCGGGGAGCAAGACAAGTTTTCGACGACTGCTGGGAAATTTTTACTCACAGGTCACCACACTGCCCGAACTCGCAGCTTAATTTTTGGCCCTGCAAGGACAGGGACCCCTGTTCGCCGAGCGCCGGGAAGTGGAGACGAGACTAGCACGCCAGCTCTCGGTACCGCACCTAGCTCCGACCGACCCCATCGTTGCGACGCCGACTTTCGTCACAACTGGGAATGCCTCACTATTGTACTTCAGATAGATAGTCCAGAATTGAAAAACTCCACTGTGACTAGATCGCGACCGCCAGAGCGGCGATGCTTCGTCTTTGTTTCGGGGGTATCTATCGTCTTTTCCTTACTGTAACCCTGAATATACATGTACTGATGCAAATCCTCATCTAATAGTCTCTGAACACAGACACAAGGTCATCCAGTCTCATGACATGACCGAGGAGCTTGCTCTGCAGGTCCAAGAAAGTGCTGTACTTGTTGTAGTGCTCCGCAGTCATGACCTCTTCCTCTTTACCCTTCACGTCCCGTCTTTCCACGAAAGACAGAATGTTACGCTCGCGGTATCGGTGCACCTCGAGATTTTGGAGGCATCGAAGCATCGTCTTGTAGTAGTCGTCGACGAGCTGACTCTCAATCCTCTCAATATCAAAGAACCAGAAAAACATTGTTCTTGTCGCGGTCCTGCTGGCATCTTTGGGAACTTCCTGCACATCGACGAAACCAGCCATTTGCATCGCAAGCATTTTGCCCTGGACATCTTGCTTCTTCATGAGAGCAAGCGAAGGGAGCATCTTCTCGTCCAGCTTGCCCTTGTCACGGAGAATCCGTGTCAATCGAAGTCCATGCCTTCCGAATGACTGCTCAATAACAGCATCCACCTCCGTTTGTTTCAACCCTTCCATCAAAGGCTTGAAGTCCACCGTCCATTGTCCTCGGCCTTGGCTGCCGCAGTGACGCAAGAAGCCCTGTCTGCTTTCCGCCAACAGCAGTAGATGCTGCCGCATTTGATCAAGTCTGTTGCCGCCAGGGACATCTTCGAATTTGACCTTGGTTTCTCTAGATCCCTCGCCATCATCTTCAGTATCGCTGTCGGAGCCATCTCGCCTAGTACCGTTCGTCTGTCCACGAGTAGGAGCTCGCGCGGCTCTTGGGCTTTCGTCAAATGAATCATCCGAATCATACATCAGTGGGCCTGGTGCTGCTCTGATCTTTTCGGCGCTTCTAAAGTCGATCTGATCCTGGGTGGCCTTACCAACTCCCAGAGAAACGTCAACGGAATCGTCGAGATTGTCGAGTATTTCGAGACTCGTAATAGTGACTTGTCGTGAGTTCGAGCCAGGGCCGTCACCCTCATTATCGGTGTCGATCCTTGGGTCGAGCTGACATCGAGACATTTGCTGTGTCAAGAGACGCAACGCAGTGTGGTAAACTTGGCCGGTGATTTCACCGAACGCATCGGCGGCGTACTGGGCGAGTCGCTGGTTTCGCAATTCGACTAGACACTTTTCGGTGTTGACTCTGAGAACAATGTGCGGCTATTTCAGTCAGTAAGATGCAGACTGAACATCAATGGGACAACCGACCTCGAGCTCGGAGACATCGTCTTCGTACTCCGACGCCTCCCTCTTTCCCTTACCATTCGCGAGTCTCCTTCGCTTGGTCGGGAACATGCCTCCTCGGCCGATTTGGCGCTTCAGCTTCTTGCTCTCTTCCCGAGCTTCTCGAAGACGCTTCGAAACTTCAGTCTGCATCAACTCCTTGTTGCGCGCTGTTGTTCTCTCGCCCGGGGGTGCTTTCGTAACTTCCTCCTCGATCTCCCGGTAAACGTCCTCCGGATTTCTGAACGTCTTCGGCCCGACCTGGTCCACAATCTCTGCTGCAACCAAGCGGCTCAAAATAGCGTGAATATCGACTAACGAATGCGAGTGGCCATTGGTCTTCGGCTTCGGTCCATCTCCATTGGCATGGCCGTTTGTGTACTCGCCATTTATGCCTGCCCCGTTTCTCGCCTCGAAAGCTTGCGCGAGATCCGATACCCTTGCGTGTCCTAGTTGCATGATCGTCTGTACTACCTCCTGCTCGGCGGGGCCATACTCGATACCGACCATCTCGATGATCTTTCCCGTTCTGCAGAGGTTGTAACATCCATCGGGATTGGCTTCGTAGACGCCGGTCGTGTTGCTGGAATCGGATTGATGATATACAAGGCTCTGCTGCACCAGAACCGCAAGGCCGTGTCGCAGCTGACGTGGGTTCAATCCGGTGGATTGGACAAGGGTCGCGATGTTCGATCTGCCTTTGCTGAACAGGACGGCTAGAATTCGCTGATGGAACAACACATGTCAGCACGATTTGCGACGCATTGCAATGGAGTGATGCGATTGATGCACTCGCAGCAAAAATCGACGGGGGCATCCTTACCGCTGGCAGCTCACCGCATATGTCGTTGACGAGGTGAGCGCAAAGCTCCGCGCCGTGTTTTGTCTGAAAAAAAGGTAAGAAACGGGATTATGGCGATGGGATGGAAGGACTTACCACCAGCATTGTGAATGCGGTTCGGTTCGATCGACTCTAGAGATTCTCTCACTATCCCTAGAGCTGCAACAGAGGCTACCTAGAAGGCATTGAAATAATGCAAGGCCGGTGCTGTGGTAGGAATAGCACTCGGCTGGAAAATGCTGATATTGCTGTCGCAGAGTGTGTCGCGTCCGGGTGACAGAGGGACTGAATAGAGTATGGAACTTTTTTTTTCTGAGCGGCGGGCCACTCAAGGCGGGGTGGGGGACAAGGTCGAAGGAAAGCGCCGAGTCACCGACACAGTCATGGAGCTTGGTGGTGCCTGAGTCCCAATGGTGACTCTGATGTGGGTGTGAGTCGTGGCTAGAACTCAGGAACGGACAAGGTACTTTTAGTGCGGTGCCACACTTCGCGATGGAGGCTTATGTAAGACCCGATCTTCGTCTGCACCTAAGAAAAGAATTGCAGACGCACCAGCCTCATGCCGGGCAGGGTGCAGTGCTTACATAATGCATATCTACAACGTCAAAAGCACAATAGTGGGGTCGGCGGAGGTAATCAGCCGCACGCTCATTGGCAGCTCGGGGAGAAGGCAAGTTTTCATCACGTGATTAGAAGAGTGACCCGTAGCTAACCTCGTTCGATGGATCGAAAATTGGTCGGGATTGTAACGAGGCACTTTCTGTTGAAGCTCCGACGAATTGAGCGTCACGCAAATCGGAACTGCCAATTCACGGCAACCCCATCACCGCAATGATTTCTAGACCGACTCTTGCGAGGTCTGCGCAGCAGGCTCTCCGCAACTCGAGCTGTGCTCGCACAATCTCGGGTCGCCGCTTCGCCAGCGCCTCTGCTGGTTCCGGCGCCTTCGAGACCTCCGATGCTGCTGGTCTCAAGGTCGCTGCCAGAGAGTCTCAGGGCCCTACTACCAAGCTGGCTATCGTAGCCAAGGCCGGTACCAGATACCAGCCTCTTCCCGGTCTGGCCGCTGGTCTTGAGTCCTTTGCCTTCAAGGTATGGATTTATTGCGAAACCACCCTTCCAACCCGTCATTGGACTTGGCAATATAGACAAAATGCGCTGACATGCTTTCCGATCGACAGAACACACAAAAGCGCTCTGGACTGCGCATTATCCGCGAATCCGAACTCCTCGGCAGCCAATTGACCGCTTACCACACCCGCGAAGCCCTTGTCCTCGAGGCCAGCTTCTTCCGCGATGACCTTCCCTACTTCACGGAACTTCTCGCCGAGGTTGTCTCTGAGACCAAGTTCACCAGTGAGAATGGCCGATATACTTGGTAAATATGCGACGTGCCTTGGCTAACGGCTGTTATAGCGCACGAGTTCCACGAGGAGGTCCAGCCTGTCCTTCGCCTGAAGCAGTCTGGCGTCAGCGCTGCCGCCCAGGCTCTCGACAACGCCCACTCCGTCGCTTTCCACTCCGGCCTCGGCTCTCCCTTCAACCTGACGCCCTCGATTCCCATTAAGCCCTACCTGAGCGAGACCGCCGTTGCCGACTTCGCTGATGCCGCCTACGCCAAGCCCAACATTGCCCTGGTCGCCGACGGTGCCTCCGCCGCCAACGTCTCAAAGTGGGCTCAGCAGTTCTTCAAGCAGGTCCCCGCCGCCTCCTCTGGAAAGCTTTCCCTGAACTCCGCTGCCACCAAGTATTTCGGTGGTGAGTCGCGTACCTACAGCGCCAACGGCAACGCCCTGGTCATCGCCTTCCCCGGTGCCGTCAACGGCCAGGCCTCCCCCGAGCTCGCCGTTCTCGCTGCTCTGCTCGGCGGCAAGTCCAACATCAAGTGGTCCCCTGGTTTCAGCTTGATCTCCAAGGCTCTCGGCCCCGCCCCGGGCGTCTCTACTTCGACCACCAACTTCGCCTACTCTGATGCTGGCCTCCTGGCCGTTCAGCTTTCCGGATCTGCCGCCGGTATCCGCAAGGCCGCTGAGGAGACCGTCAAGGCTCTCAAGACCATCTCCGAGGGCGCCGTCAGCAAGGAGGACCTGACCAAGGCTATTGCCAAGGCTAAGTTCGAGGCTCTGGAGGCCACCGAGAAGCGCAGCGGCAGCATTCTGCTCGCCGGCTCTGGCCTCGTCCACAGCGGCAAGGCTATCGACGCTGCTGAGTCCGCCAAGTCCGTCGAGTCTGTTACGGCTGAGAAGCTCAAGGCGGTAAGCACACCCGCAGCCCAACTGATTGTATGTATGACTTTGAGACTAACAAAATCCTTAGGCGGCGAAGACGATTCTGGATGGCAAGGCTAGTGTTGCTGCGGTTGGTGATCTGTACGCTCTGCCGTACGCTGAGGAGCTTGGCCTTCGTGTGTAAGGGGCAAATTGGCCTGGTCTCGCAGTAGTCGAACGATCCGTGTATCAACAGTCAAGCATTTGCGGTAGATTGGGGAAATGTATCCTTTGTGAACATATGTAGTAGAATTTTCTTGTGTCTGCCTAGCTTGTCTGATTCCCCTATGCCATATTCCCCCTTTAATGAGCTCGTCTGAAATTTCATCCGACTGATGCACTCTACGCAGTATGCGTCCTTGCCAGGAGCGTGATGGACAGTAAAGTATGTGGTTAACGATGAAATCCTTCATTTTTGAGTGAAATTGCAGATGGGATGATCCCACAGTGTGAAGTGGTGTTTATAGCGGGTGTGTCGATCTCGTTTGTTTCGCTCACGCATGGTTGACGTAATGTACGCGGGAGGCTCCTTCATGGATGGACCCCGAGTGCAGCAAAGCTGCCAATCCAGCGCCAAAGCATCCCAATGTTGAGCTGTAAGACATGGAATTGAACCGGCAGCGCTGGAATTGCAAATAGAAATTGACTCGTCTACGAGCCAGGAGAATCGAGAGGGAGGAATGGGCACAGTCGCCCATCCAAAGCCATTTAGCGGGGATTTATCTTGAGGTAGCACCGAAGATTGGACGGGTTGCAAGGTCATAATTGAGTTGGAGAGTCACTCCATGTACTTTGTATCAATTGCCCTGCCAAACACACCATACAGCAACGTGACCATGTTCGGTGAAGCTGCTGTATCGCACTCATGGCTCTGTTAAACGGCTGTCTGACAGGTTTCTGGCAGACTTTGGAGTTGGTACGGTTTGGTCAAAAGCCACGACGTCTCAGGGAGCGAGGGCAATAACACGGCAGTCAAGTCTTAACAGATTGTTGCTCGAAACACTGCTTTGACGTGAGGGGACGACACAGAGCACGGCCCCCCCCCCCCCCCAATTGGGGGTTGAAGTATGTTCTTAAGTCGTTGCAGGTGCAGACGTAGATTGGCAGAGAGTGGAGGCCGCTCCCGTCCTAACTGCGGCGAGGAAATAAGGGAAGGAAGGAAGGTTGAACTAGTATTCGTACCTCCCTAGGTAAGAGGAGACATGGGAACACATCACACAACTCTGATGCGCTTTTGATTAAGGTAGGCAACCAGCGTCACATACCTTACTTCACGGCGAAGAGGGAACCAACCCAACCTGCTGTGCTGTGGCACTGGTAAGGAGAGATGTCTCGTGCTTGGTAGATTGCCCTGGCTGCAGCGGATTGGCTCGCGGGCCCGTAAACGACCAAGGGGCCACTCATCTGTGACCATCCCCCGGGAGCACTATCCGTCCCACACCACAACGCCCGCGCCTTTTCCTTCGCTAGTCCCCGTCCCCGACCTGAAAGTGACAAGGCACAGGGTACACCGCACCTCAGAGCACTTCCAAGGGCAGCAGATGTACCTTTCTTGGGTTCCCGCCCTCGGTATTTTACCTACGAGGCAATTACCAGGGATCCAAAGTTAGCATATTGGGGGACTTTGGGGACGGGAGGCTCAGCAGGCGAGCACAGTGCACTGGAGCTGGTCACCTCCAGTGGGCACACCCGCACACACGCACACACGCAGTCAGTACGGGTACCTTAGTGGACAGGACACAGCGGTGCCGTACCTTTACCCTCTCGCAGAACCCACTCCACCCGCCCGACCAGACGCCAGCACCGCACCAGGGAGTTGCGGTAGGGGACTGGCCGGACCGCACTGGGAAAACAAAGCCTCACCTCACCTCATCTCAACTTCCACACCCAATGCCAACTCCCTCCACGTCCTCGCCCTTTTTCCGCCCACGATCGACGCTGGTCTTCTGCGCCTGCTTCCTCCCCTAACCCTCCATTTCCAGTCGCCCAATTGCGATTTTGTTCGTGCAGTGTCTCTTTGTGCCTGGACGAAGATTTGGGGAAGCTTTCGTTTCTCTCCCCTACCCCTAAGGCCTTCGTGGAGCCTTTTTCCCAGCACACATTCGGAGAGACCTCGACCAGGTGAGACACACAGTCCATCCCATCCACTTCCTCCCATGATTCATTCCTCTCCTATTCCTCGAGCCCAACTTCGACATCTTCGCGACAGCCTCCCTCCTCTTCTTTCTCGCTTGTCGTACTATCGGGCCTGCTTCCCTTCATCCTACGCCGCTGTCGTCGACGTCTCCAACCGCTCTTGAGCTGCGACTTCCAGCTACCTGTCCTTGATGGGACTCCCCCCGCTATTCCACCAGCGAAGCTAACCCGCTCAACCTGCTCCCAGTTCAATCTGCCGAGAGCTTCGAAGCCACTGGCAACCTTTTTGTCCGATTACACCGCCGATTTGCAAACCTCGGCAACTGTTTTCTTTCGAGCCCAACGAACCGAAGACCATCCAATTCCCGTCGCAAGGTGTGTGTTGCTGTGGAAATACCCGCCCACATCCCTCCTTCCGTGTATCGACACATATCCATCAGCTTCCAAAAGTCTACATCCTCCTCTAAGCCGCTGGATTCATCGTCGGATTATTCAAACAAAACTACAAGGAGCCGGGCTAACCCTACCTGCAGGGGACTGGAGGTCATTGGTAGTCAAGGTGGCACTGCCTTCGAAAGATCCCATTCTGTACTACCTCCACAGCCCGAGGCTGCAAGATGGTGCCCCCCAAGAAGCTGCAGAGTGAAATCGGGAACAACGGCAGCAAGAACAATATGTCCTACAACAAGAGAGATGCCGCTATGGGTAAGGCCGACGGAAAGGGCCAGAATGGTACGCACCCCTGCTCAGACACCCGACATGACGGATCTAACAGCCAACAAGGCGCTCGGTCTGGATTTCGAACTGACACCGCCATCTCCACCAACAACCGCCTGGGCAACGAGCGAGCCCTTCAGCCGTGGGTTCCAGACGCCGGCGATGGCATTGATGGGAGCTTGGAGAAATCCTCCAGCGGCGGAGCCTGGGACCAGTTCGCCGAGAACGAGCGACTCTTCGGCTTGAAGACTGACTATGACGAGAACATCTACACTACCACCATTGACAAGAGCCATCCTCAATACCGCGAGCGCATGGCTGCTGCAGACCGCAAGGCTCGAGAGATCGAGCGAAGCCTTCCCACAACGGCTCACGTCGCCGAGGAGCGTGTGATGGACTTCGTCGGTGGTGGTGGTAACGATCAGGGCGGTGACGAGGAAGACAAGTAAGAACGCTTCCTTCGTCATGTCCCGCTGCAACGTTCAACTGACAATTGGTTTAGGTATAGTGGAGTCCGGCGCGACAAGTACACGCCCCCAGCCAAGCGAGCTCCTTCATCTCAGTCTACGGTGACTGGCGCCCCTGTCGATCCCGCAATCATCTCTTCGCAGCTGAGGGCGCCGGCGAAGAAGCAAACCGCGGTCAAACCAGAGGATGCCAAGCTCCTCAACCAACTCGCAAACAAGGGCGGCGCTGCGCAGGGAGGGGAGGCTCCCAAGCCTGCTGATTCTAAACCTGCCGCGAAGCCGACTCCGAAGCAAGAGCCAGCAAAGTCAACCGAGTCGAAGCCAGCGGACGCGAAGGCTACTGCTGCGAAGGCCAACGATGCCAAGACCGACAAATCCGCTGCTGCAGCCCGTCCCTCGGCGGCCACTAGTCGCACCATCTCTCCTCAAGTCAAGGAGGGTGCACCAAGTGCTGCCTTGACTGTGGAGCGCGATGTTCTCAACTCTTTCAAGTCGTTTGCTAGCCAACAGCGACAAAACGCAGAGAAAGTTCGGAGCAGCAAGGCCAAGGCCGACAAGGAGGTCAAGTTGACAGAGTTGAAGAAGTTTGCCGACACCTTCAAGCTGTCAACCCCCGTCCCATCCGATCTGATTGGTATCATCGCCAAGGACCCATCCAAACAGAAGGAGATCCAGGCAAAGGCGCTCCAGAATGCTGAAGACATTGCCCGTGCCAAGGCAGACGCTGCCACAAAGCCCAAGGAAACTCCGTCAAAGGATGGTGCTTCTAAGTCGGCTGCCGACACCCCGGCCACACAGTCTGTCACTACAGACACAAGAAGTGCCTCACGTCCGACTCCCACGCAGCACACGATATCTCCCTCGAACGTACCGAACCGGCATCCGAACGCTCGTCAATCTTATGCTTCTCCCCAGTACCACACCCAAACGTACCGGAACGACAGGTCAGGACAGCACATGGCGCAGCAGAATCGTCAGCCGCTGGCGCAGCGTCTCCGCAACGTCGAGCAACAGAAGATGTCGCAACCGCCGGCACACCCGCATGGTGGCGGCCAGGATATGCGTCTCCCTCCGACTGGGCCGGCAAACAATAACGAGGCGTTCTCTCGACGCATCACTGGCGTTCCGAGCCACATTGGTGGAAAGTTAAACCCAAATAGCCACGAGTTCAGACCCAGTCCCTTCGCCGCGTCTTTCAACCCCAATGGTCACCCCAGTGCGGGATCTAGCCCTAGCTCCTCCGCTGCAAACAACGCGCCGACGAGCGATGCGACGACTCTCGTGAGCTCGGCGCCCACTGGCCAGCTAATCCGCCGCAAGACGAAGACGGTTGATGTCAAGAAGTGCTACATCCTTGCTCACGTCAAGACTTACCAACCACCTCAGGGCCGCAACTGGGATGACAACGAAGGATTGAGACCGTCCTACGACACCCCGCCTACGTGGAGACAGGTTCAAGATAATGAGAAGCCTGATTCCACGATGCACATTACGTCCAAGGAATTTCTGGAGCGTCAATCATTTGCCTCCTCGTCCATCGCCACGCCTAACCACACGCACGTCGTCCCCAGTGCCCATCAGCATCAGCTCCCTTTCCATCTGCAGCAGCCTGCGCATGGTATGGGCCCGCGCCAGTCACCTCATATGCCGCCTATGCCGATGCAGAATCAACATGGAGGCCACGTGCCTCACGGACCCTACCAAAACATGGACGATCACAGGATGATGCACTCCAACTCGGCACAGTCTTTTGCGTCGCCTCGAATGGGCCAGGTTCCTATCACCTACACGCCAGCCATGGGCTCCGCCGGTCAGGTGCCCTACAACCAGCCGATGATGCAGCCATTCGTGCCAGGCACGCCGAACATGGGCGGCTTCCGCAACTTCTCCAACAATCACCAGTACATGCCGCAACAGCCTGGTGCACCTATGGGAGGACCGATGATGCCGCAATTCATGAATCCCCAGGGGATGGTACCAGCACCTCAGATGCCAATGTACGCCGGAGGCCATGCGCAGTTCATGCCTCCGAACGCCGCGCCGCCCCAGCCTATCCCGGGATCCAACGGCTATCCTAGTCCCGGACGACCAGTCGCGCCCATGATGGCCCACCAAGGTTCGCAGCAGGGTCAACCGGTGTACGGCATGAGTCCCAACGTGCAGTACCAGCAGCCGGCCTTCACCCCGCAGCAGCCTGGCGGTCAGGGTAAGATGGTACCTGGCGCCCGCTTCCAATAAGTTGCTAACGGTTCAACTTAGTTGGCAGGGGTTACAACGGTCCGGGTCCTCAGCACTTCGGGACGAGTCCCTCCCAAATGCATTCATACGGAGCCCAGCATCGAAGTGGAAGTAACACCTACGGAGCCAAGCCCTTCAACAACCACGGACAACACCAAGGGTCTCAGCAGGGCGCGGCAGTCCCAGCCGGTGGCCCCGGGCGCGGTCCTGATGGCTCCGAGGAGGCCAAGTGAATGGTGAAAACAGCACCGTGGCAGAGGTAGACCGTCGCCGTCTGGAATGCCGCCCTCGCCAACATTTATGCCTGGTCAGCTCCCGCTGTTAATCGAATATTGTTTACCGGCTGGACTTGAGCGGACACAGGCACTTCGGCATTTCATGGCGGCAAGGGGGATTATGTTAGGGGGCCCATCCAGCGGCAGGCAACGGGGTCGATCCTGTTGCCCGAGCATTGGATGGAGGTATTCTTTCTGTGCGCCATACCATTTATCGGCAGAAAGTTACTTGTTGGCAAGAAATGATCCAGGTTATTCTTGCAGGATAGCTAGGTGATACGGAGGCGAGGGAGATGCTGCCGCTTGGATGTCACCGAGGGGGGAGGTGACTGGGTCTGGCTAGAAGTAGGAGACGATTGAGGACCAGAGAGGACGAACGTGGGGACGTTTGGCCATGATCCGGATGCGTACCTGAAGGCTGGGTGGTGCGGACAGCTCAGCAGAGATATGAGGGGCAGAAGCGTGAGAGCTGGCAGTTCAGGCTAGAGCCATCTATCAATAGGTGGCTTGAACATGATAAACCATTACTTCATACACATGTCCAACGAGTGGCTGTCGTCTGTCGCCCATGTCGGGAAAAATAAACTCTGACCGAATGCTTTAAATTTGACCCCGACGACCAGTGTTCACCTTGGAACTGGATGGGTGGTCAAGAGAAAAGGGAGAAAAGAATGAGGGCTTCACTAGTGTTGCAGCGACGACTGGGGCGGAAACTACGGCATCGAAGTGCGCCCTGGGGCGGCAGACGAGTTTGAAAATGGAACATGATCATGTGTAGTTGCTGACAGTTACATAAGAGAGATTCGGGCTCGCGTTAGGCGCAGGAGGGTCATATTTTTAGGCGTGGCAGGGTTGAGATGACGCAGGCGGCAGAAATAAAGACAGAGTCGCATTGTGCGGGTTAGATATAGCACACACACACAGAGATGGGGAGAGGGCTGATGTGAGAAGGTTAATGACAGAATTATCCAATGTCAGTCGCCTGGTGTGGCCGGCTGGGATTAAGGTAAGGTATGATCGGTCGGGGCACGGCGGGATCAGATCACAGGAGAGAGGTTAAGGGACGGTCGTGGAGTTCGATTTTCGGTCAAATGTGACTACATTTTGCTGGGCGGCAGCGGTGGTGGGTGGAGGATGGCAGGAAACATTCTGATTCGTGGCGGCTGCACAGGGCATGCCATTTGACGGCGCATGTCGCATGTTTCAGGTCTTCACCTTTCCTAACCTGGCTGGACGTTTTACCTACTTAGCAGAGGAAGAAAAAATGCCTGCGGGCCTCGGCCCCAGGTAACTGCGTTATATAAGCTACGTGGTTCAAAAAAGAGACTTTTTGAGACTAATTAACAGGGTACTCACAGATAGTAGCTACACTACTGCGAATCCTCCTACGCCTAATACCACTATATCTTAGCTAATAGGGCTATTTACTATACTAATATCGCTAGTATCTCTAATAATATAATCTCTAAGGGTTAATGTAAAGTACTATTATTAATTACTATTAGTATATATTTAAAAACTTTTTATATATAAGTAATATATAGTTAGTTTGTTATTAAGCTTCTTAGAAGCTATATATAGCTTAATAAGCTAAACTAAACTCTTTAATAATAACTTATCTTACTATCTATTAAAATTAGCTTAACTATCTATTCTCTTAAAGCTAATATTCTTAATAAGATTTATATAGAAGTAAGGATATTATTAGAAGTTAGGATCGTTTAAATAGCTAACTATAGTAATCTCTATATTATAAATATTAGTAAGATTAAGTTAAGCTATTTTAAAAGGGATTAATAAAGATATTATAGAGAGGTTAATATAGTATTATAATCTCTATAGCTAGCTTAGCTAGTTTTATAGCTACACTAATCCTTACTTTTAAGGTTCTCTATAACCTTAAAAAATAAGGCTAAATAGTAGTATATCTATTGATGCCTTGAAGCTTATTAGTAAAAAAAATCTCTTTCTAGAATACTAAAAAACTGGGTAACAAAACCAAAGCAAAGCAGAGGAAGAAAAAAAAAATCCCCGTCACGTCACAATCGGTTCCCGGGGGAGGCTGCCGCTTAGGGAGGCGCTGGAGCGGGGACACCTGGTCAAGGAAGGGGGATGCTGAGGGAAAATCGCAGATCCTGGACAGTGGGACCATTTGGCTTGGCCCACTGCGATTCCCTCATTTGCTGCTGTTCGATGTTCAGATGCCTGAAGAGCGCAACGACTACCATGCACCTCGTGGTGGTGCAGTGCTTCCAACAACACGTTCACTGCGGTGGTACAGCTGGAGATGAGCGCTGTGAGGTGGTGTCACAGGGCAGGTTGAGTAAACGGGCTGCGCCAATCACGGTAACGGGCGGCTCACCGATGCCAGGCACGCGGGCCGTCTGATTGGATCCGGTCTGGATCCGAACCGTCGAACCCGTCGTGGTGCCCCTGCTCTCTTCAGTGAGGTGCAGTGTGTCGTGCTACATTGCTCCCAGGGCAGGGAAGGAAGCTGCCCAAGGTCTCTTTGAAGGCGGCGGCGGCGACAACGGCCAGAAGGTAGGTCAGTTTGCGCCCCTTGCGCTTCAGATCTTTGGCGCGCAACTGCCGCTGTGGCCTCCCATTCGTGCATCCGTCCCTTCGCCAATGACTGGGCTGGATCAAACCTCACGTCTAGTTTCTGACCAGTGACTGCCGCTCTCTCCGTGTTCATCCCACTTTTTTTTTTATTTTTTATCGGGGCAGAAAATCAGAGACAAACGCGCCTGTCTCTGTCTCTCCTCTCTGTCAGTCTTAGCCTTAGCGTAGGTATCTTGGGCGCCCTCCCGCCGCTGTCCCCGCCGTTGGTACAAATGTGTGTGTCCCTAGAGACCACGCCTTTGTGGAGCGACGACGTTGAGCTGGGCCCACAATGCGGCGGCAGGCGTGGTTGGGCCGTTCTGTGCTAGGGCGCAAGGGGTGAAGACACAGGAATCTTGCGGTCCCTCTAGGCGCAAGTCGAGTTTCTCGAGGTTTTCTCGTCTGTTGGACAGGATTAAAGGGCACGGGAGAGCCGAGGGTTGCCGCCCGATTTTTGGATCTGAAAAAAGAATCCAGAGGGAGAAGGAAAGGGAGGCTTGGATTCAGAAGTAGGTCGTAGGTCGTAGTCCAGACTGGATCGGCCGGCCTGGGTACAGATACTCTGGAGGGATTATCATGATGGAAACCGCCAGCTCAGAGCTGCCAGCATCCGAATAGCCGATTGCAAGAACAGCTTGAAGCTGAGGTAGATCTACAAGCGTCTAGGAGGCATCCAGCTTGCGAAGATGAGGTATCTCAAAGTAGAAGGTGCCGAAGAACCTGAACAGATCCTGAACAGTGCAGGGAAGCAGCAGGCCGACAGGGGTCGTTCCTTTCCGGCGCGAGAAGACCATGAAGGGTAGGAGTGGTGTTGGCCAAGCGCAGCGCACCCCGCGACCGCCAGCCAACCCGCAGGCGGGACGGGATCACCTCTCCTCAGGGCAGAATGCAGACAGCCTGGTACCTGCACTAGAGCGGGATATCTGCAGAGTCTGGGAGGCAGACCGGCCCTTCACCCTTGCCTTCTTCGCCCTCCTCGCCCTTGACCCTGGTTCGGCGCGCCTTGCCTTCCTTCGACGGGCTGGTTGACTGCGGATCTCATCAACGATAAAGAGCCCGTGACAGCCTCCCGCCTTCCTGAGTCTCTTGCTCCATCCGCACCTGACATCAACAACACCTCGATCGGGTCTCGGCTTCTCTTTCTCTTCTCTTCCCTTACCTCACTTTCCATTCTCTTGCTTCCTGACCTTCCCTGATATTGCGTCACACACGACACCAAATTCACTGTTGCTCAAGCAGAAACCAAAATCCAAACTTTTTAGCCTGGGTACCTACCTTGCCTGGCTTACACACCTTCCTTACACACACACACACACAACACACACCTGCGCACCAAAGTAGCAGACCCACGAAGAAGAAGGCACGCCGTTCCTTCCCTGCCTCCTTCCACATCGCAACGGTTACGTACTGGGCTTTCCCGACCAACCTTCTTGCACAACCAACACATTCCTTCCTTACTCTTCATCGTCAGTCCTTGGACTTTTGTTTTCCTTCAAACTGTGCTCGAGTCTGCAATCCCCATTTTCGGATACAAAAAAATCCAAGACGCCCGTCTCAGTCACCTTGACTTGAACCGTCTCACCCTCATTCACCTCTTTCACCTTCACAACAACAACACAACCCCAAGCCCGGGATCACACCTGACCCGCGCACATATCAGGACGAGGAGCAAACTCACACTCATTCAAGAGCCAAGTTTTCCCCAACCTTCACCTACACCCTTCCATCTTCTCGGCCTTTCCTCGAGATTCTTTTTCTTCCTCTCTCAATAACCTCAGGAAAAAGACATCATGAAGTACTCCTTCGCCGTCACCATGTGGTCGCTGCTGGTCAGCCAGGGTATGGCTCACATGGCCATGACCTACCCTCCTCCTCTGCGCTCCAAGGAGAACCCGTTTTCCACCTCGGCCAACATCGACTACAGCATCACCAGTCCTCTGAGTGCTTCGGGCAGCGACTTCCCCTGCAAGGGCACCCTCAACCTCCTGGGAACTGCGGCTGCCCAGTCGGTCGCTACCTGGCAGGCCGGTCAGCAGTACAACATGACCATCGCCGGCGGTGCCAACCACAACGGCGGTAGCTGCCAGGCTGCTCTCTCTTACGACAAGGGCCAGACCTTCACCGTCATCCACAGCTACATCGGTAACTGCCCTCCCGCTGGCACCTCGTCCTTCAAGTTCACGGTCCCCGCCGACGCTCCTGCCTCCTCGGATGCCCTCTTCGCTTGGACCTGGTTCAACAACGTTGGCAACCGCGAGTTGTATGTCCCCCAGCTTTCTCCTCGAGTAATTCTGAGCCTTGCTGACCCTTCACAGCTACATGAACTGCGCCGTCGTGACCGTCACTGGTGGCAGCAGCGGTGCCTCAAGCAGCGCCACTTCCTCGTTCAGCAGCCGCCCCAAGATCTTCGAGGCCAACATCGGCAATGGCTGCAGCACTGCTGAGGGCTCTGACGTCGCGTTCCCCAACCCCGGCCCGGATGTCGACAACACTTCCAGCAAGACCGCGCCCCCCTCCGGCAACTGCGCTGCCGCTGCTGGCGGTGGCTCCGGTGGTGGCAGCTCTGCCGCCCCCGCCAACCCCGTCGCTTCCAGCGCTCCGGTCGCCAGCAACCCTGTCGCTGCACCCTCTTCTCCTGCCGCGGCTCAGCCTAGCGTTGTCGCTCCCGTCTCCTCGGCTATCCAGAGCGCGCCTCAGTTCAGCCTTGCGCCCACCACTGGCGCCGCTACAGGCTCTCCCGTCGCCACTTCGCTGTGAGTAGCTTTCCCACCCACCCACTCACTTCTGTAGATCACATTGCTAACCGTCTACAGCCCTGGCGGCGTCTTCATTCCCGTGTCCAGCAGCAGCGTCTCTTGCGACTCTGAGGTGGAGACCAAGACCACTCTCGCTACCATCAGCAGACCGGCTCAGACCAACGCTGCTCCCACGGCTAGCGACATCGTGCCTGTCCCCACTCCCACTGCCCTTCCCTCGGGCGGTGCCAATGCTCCAGGCTCCATGACTCCTGGCCTTGCCTGTACCGATGAGGGCCAGTGGCTCTGCATCGAGGGCACTCACTTCCAGCGATGCGCTTCCGGACGGTGGTCGGTTATCATGAGTATGGCTGCTGGTACCAAATGCCAGTCCGGAACCACTGAGTTCGTCACCTGGGCCAAGAAGAGAAACCACAAGAGAGCCCACGTCCGCCGCTTCCGCTCTGGACACATCTGATTCTTCCAAGGGATGCTTCGATGGCAGCTAGCATGACGGGCCCTTTGGTCTAGACTGTTATGTCGCTTCCGAAGACCTTTACGTTTTTATGCCCTTTGGATGATCAATCACGTGGGCTACGACATTCTTATGAGAACTGTATGAGATACGCGGGATGGGGGTCAAACATCATAGACATGGGAACAACCTGGTCTGGTTTCGCAATTTCGGCGTTGAGGTTGACATTGAATCTCCAGGACTGGCTCTTGGTTGGCATGGTATGGTTGGCTGGCAGGCAAAATACGTCAGGTAAAACAAATAGCAACGCGCAATTCAATGATCGTTGTAACACGAGAAAATAGCGCGGATGATTTGATGCTGTGACGTTGATGTTAAAGTGAAAAAGACTTTGGGGTCTGCTGCAGGTGGAGAGCGCCTCAATCACAGGCATCCGCCAGCTGCCACCAGCTGGTATAGAGCACAATGCACCTGCACGCCACCGTAGGCAACATCAGCACCTGTTCTCTGTTGTGGCTGGAGCATTGAACCTGAGACTTCACATTCAACTAAAAGGCGCCGCTCACTCACGAACTGCACCAACCAGCGGCATAATTATCCAAGAGACCGACTGGGCTTGGGACGGGCAATTGTTGGACAAATTTTGACGACGTCGCGTTGGCCTGTGCGGCCGCGCCTGACACATTTGGTCCCTTGCAACCAGGGTAGCTCTCACTCACGTCGACCGCATCCTCAGAAGGCTGGAGCAGGAAGTGATGACTGGAGGAACACGCTCATGAGGCTTGCTCAATAACCCCAACAACGCGAATATGGCGATACCATCCGGCAGAGCGTCGTTCAAGAAGAAGGATGGTGTCTTGACGTTGACGCCGGATCAGCAGTCCGTCATCTGGACACCCGCGCCTGGCAATGGCCCGCCCACCGTATCGCTATCGCTTGCCAACATCACGAGTGAGTCTTTCGAGTTCATGAGCTGGCACCGCTCGCTGACGTGACAACAGACTTGCAACAAACACCAGACACCGCGGCCAAGGTGATGCTCAAGATCTTTGAGAAGCCACCTGATGCCACAGACCAGGTGCCGTACCTCTTCCACTTCACGTCAGAAGAGGCCCGATCCGAGGCGAACGCCATCAAGGACCTCCTTTCAAGACTCCTCGCCGACATACGATCCGGCGACCACAACCTGCCCAAGCCAGCCGGGACACCAAACCCTCACGCAAATGGCGGGAACTCCACCCCCAATCCTGGGGCAGGCGGCTCAGGCTCCGGCTCCATGGCTTTCGCGAGCTCTGTCAACTCCAAACCCAGCACAGCGCGTTGGTTCGACGACGCCCATCTCAAGGGCGATATCGAGTTACAGCAATCCCTCATGAAGAAAGACCGGACCCTGCACCAGACGTACATGGACGCCCGCGCCACAAAACCCGAATCCATCTCTGACGCTGCGTTTAACGCGCAGTTCTGGTCCACCCGCACCAACCTACTCCGTGCTCACGCCATCGAGGTCAACCAGCAAAAAGGAGCCTACAATATCCTGCCCGCCATCAAGCCACGTCTCGAGAACGATGTGCTCAAGCTCGACATCACCGTGGAAATGGTCCAGCTCATCATGGCACAGCACCCGCTCGTCAAGCGTCTGTACGACGAGAACGTGCCCAAGGTGCCCGAGAACGAGTTCTGGTCGCGCTTCTTCCTCAGCAAGCTCTTCCGCACCCTCAAGGGCGACAGAATCTCGGACGAGAAGAAAGAGGGCATCCGCCGCGACGCGCTCTTTGACGCCCACGATGCGAGCGAGAACACGGCCACGTTCCAGCGCAAAAGCATGGCCCAGAGCGTGCCGCACATCATCAACGTCTACGGCAACGAGGAGAACCAGGGCGGCTTCCGCAGCGGAAACCAAAAGGACGTCGAAATGCGTCCCCGCAAAAACGTGCCCATCGTCAACACCCTCAACTCTCTCAGCGAGAGAATGTTGGCCAACGTCGCCCCCACAATCGACAGGGAGAACGGCGACGATCCAGAAGACTCAACCTTCCAAAAGCTCGCCCTTCGCGACCTGCAAGGCGACGCAAAGGAAAACAAAATCATCCTCAACGTCAAGGAACAGAACCGCTTCTTCTCCAAAAAGCAAGAGACACAATCAGCAAACAACCTCGCCTTTGCCAAGCAGAACCCCGCCGACGTCATCTTCGAGATCCAGTCGGACCTCGAGATGATCGAGACGGACGACGCCGACGGCCTTAACCTCCGCGCCGGCATTGGCATCATCGACGACAGCGACAGCGACGAAGAGACCCAGCGGCGTCCGCACGTCGGCTCCCGCGCGGCACGCAAGGCGGCCGGCGAAGACATCATGGCGGGCATCCGCCAGCGGCGCTCTGAAAAGTACGGCGACGCCTCGGCCGACGCGACCAGGCCCATGGGCCTCCCAGCCGAGATTGCGGAGCGCTGCCAGCTGACGCACGCGACGACCGTAGAGTTCCTGCACCAGTTCTGGAACGCGTTCCTGTCCGGCGACCCGGACCGCGCGAACGAGCTGCAGTATCTCGTTGAGTCTCTCAAGCGCTCCGCCGAGCGCATCCATGCGGTCGCCGACGAGGCCGAGAAGGCCCGCGACGACATCATCGCGGCGAAGAAGAAGGAGATTATAGACCACTACAAGGCAACCGGCAAGAAGATTCGCGGATGGCGGCCGGAGCACGAGAAGGGCGGACGCAAGGCCGTGCTGGCGGTGATGCAGCCCACGCTGGAGGCGTTGAAGAAGGCCCAGGCAGATTACCAGCGGGCTCTCGCGGCCGAGGGCGTGCAGCTCTCTACGGAGGCCTGAGTTACATGACCCTGCCCAAATTATTAAATTGTTCTCGAGTTGAATACGTCATGAGAGACATGGCGCGAATGTAGTAGTACTATAGATCTTTACAGGAAAAAGCCCCTTTTTTATTTCGCCAGTATCATGCAGCTACACGGCTATCATCACTTCTGCAACGTACCTGATGCAGCCAACTACCTAGACAGATATCTCAATGTTGATACACTCTTATCCGTCCACTCTCAAGCTTCTCTATAGTCGTATAGACCTTTCACGAGACGGGACCTATCGCGGGTTTTTTATGGAAATCATACAGGCCCAGGGAGAATATGAGATGATACCTTTCCGGTCTACTAGCAAGAGGTTGCCCTCTTGAAACGAGAAAACAGACAAAAGAAAGATGGATGGAAGAAAAAAAAAGGATCGAGTCTGAATTTTTTAAGAATGAGTTGGTGATTTTACACTGCAACAGCTTGCCGTACCCTAGCCTCCTCCGCATCGCTCGGCGTCGGGATGACGCCGAAGCCCATACCCTTACGCTTCTGGCTGTTCTTGGACCGCACGTCGCCGTACTTTTCGTCGAAGCGCCGTATGCTCTTGAGACTGTCCATGTCCTCGCTGACGCTGGCGGCAATCATCTTGAGCGCCTTGTCAAAGTGATGTTTCCTCAGCGTGCGCTTGGGGGGGAAGACGTAGGGCTCCGGGCCGGTGTGCTTGGCGGCCTCCTCGGACTCCTCCTGCACGGCGGTCATGGCGGCGGCGACGCAGAGGTTCTTGAGGTCGGAGCCGGAGTAGAGGACCGTCTGGCGCGCAACGTCGTCGATGGACACGGAGTCGTCGAGGTCCTCGCCCTTGAGCAGGATGCGCAGGATCGAGGCGCGGTCCTGCTTGAGGGGGAGGTCGACGAGGATCTTGCGGGGCAGGCGGCGGAGGACGGCGTCGTCGAGGTCGAAGGGGCGGTTCGTGGCGACCATGATGAAGGCCTTTGTGTCATTCATGCCGTCCCATTCCCGGAGGAACTGGTTGATGGTCTCGCGATGGGCGGCGCGGTTGCGTTGGCCGCGGGCGGCGAGCAGGGCGTCGGCCTCGTCGATGAAGATGACCAGCGGCGAAAGCTTCTTGGCCAGGGAGAAGAGGGCGCGGACGTTTTTCTCGGACTGGCCGACATACATGTCGTTGATGCTGGCGCCCGAGACTTCGAGCATGTTTGCGCCAGACTCCTTGGCGACAGCCTTTGCTAGGAGAGTCTTACCGGTACCGGGGGGTCCATAGAGAAGGCAACCTGGGATCCTGTCGGTGGCGAGAACGCCATAGGTGAAGGCTTCAGGCCGGATCAGGGAGAGGGATGTGAGGAGCTTGAGAGCGGACTTGGTCTCCGGGTCGGCGTGGACGTCATCAAAGGTTGTCTTGATCTCATTGGAGTTGACGAGGCCTGCCAGCAGCTTCTTCTCGTAGTCGTTGTAGCTGCCGGATACACGAAGACGTTCGGGCTCGGCGCGAGCGGAATCGGCGGATGATGAGGAGGGAGAGGAGGGTTTTGAGCGGGTTGGTTTGTCCTGGACGCGGTGCAGTTGGGCGGTGCTGTAGGAGCTCGACTCCACGACGTCGAAAAGAACGCGCCAGGACTGGTCTGGGGAGACGGAGCCCTGGCAGGCGTAGAAGAGGCGGGTGATGTGGTAGACGTCCGGAAGGGGGAGCACAGAGGTGGCGAGGACGCGGGGGATGAGAGAGACTTCCATGTAAGAGCCTTCTGCGTCGTCAAGAAGGAATTGTGGTGGGTGCGACTTCGAGACGCCGACGATGCGGAGCTTGGAAGTGTCCGGGGAGGACCCGGCGATGGTGCGAAGCATGTGTTGGATGTTGCGCAGGTTTTCTTGCAGGTAGTCGTTTGCCTCGTAGATCTTCTTCGTGTTGCTTGCGTTGGTGATGCGCTGAAAGTTCAGGGGGAGCGGAACGAGGCATTCCTCGGCAGCAATATCCTTCCGTGTTGTGGCGTACTGCTCCGATGGGTTCTCGTTGGAGGAGGTGCCGACGAGCGTCACTCTCCGGCCAGACCGCCACATTGTGTCAACGATGGAACGCAGTCTGCCAAGGATGAGAGCCCCCTCAAGAGTCATATTGAGCTCAACGAAGTCATCAACATGGATGATGAGGTTGCGATCCGGTTGCGAAGACGTCTTTGTCGTCGCGTTGGCGATCTCCTCAAGGGCGGCATTGATCTTGAGGTTCTCCCAGCGGTCGACGGAGGGAAGCATGTAATCCTTTGCGCCCTCCTTGATCTTCTGAAGCTCATCCTCCATGGGGTTGTTGAAACCGTTTCCTCCTTCTTGTTGGTTGATATGAACCCACGCAGCCTCAATTTCTCCAGCCACATCTTCATCGCTCGGCTTGGCAGGCTCCTCCGATTTCGCCAAGCGGCCGTTCATCTCTGCCGCGCGGTATCCCATCATGGAGATGGGGCCTCTGGAGTATGCGCAGTCCTGGCCGATGTAGTCACCCACGAGCATGCCCAGCTCCTGCGCATCAAGATGGATGATGTCCGCTTCTACGCACGAAGCAACATGCTTCATGAGTTTCCTCGTATGGCTTCGACCAGTGTAATTCGGGATGTGAACGACCGTAAGAGGCCTCTTGAGTTCCCTACCCAGCATGTCCGTTGTTGGTTGCAGCGCAAGCTCGGCGCGCACCGCCGTGACGATCTCACCCCGAATCCTAGGATCAAACAATCGCAGACCGTCACGTTTTGGCAGCGGCCGTCCCTCCTCGATATACTGCTCGACAAGCGTCTGGAGTACACCATCCTGATCCGCTGTCTGCTCCTGTATGGGATCGCTATTTATTGTGTCTCTCGTGTGTTGCGACAGAAGGTTCGACAAAACAAACTTGTTAGAGTAGCGAAGCATGTCGGCGAAGTCTGTCGTGGGAAGCGGCTCTCGGGAGCTTTGCAAGTTGTTTGAAGACCGCATCTCGTCAATAGAAAGGCTCAACCACTGCGATGCTTCAGCCAGTATCCTGTTCCGCCTCTCAACAGCCTCGGTATTGCCCTCGCGCAAGTTGCGCAACGCATCCTGCAGCCTCGATTCGCTCCATGAAGCCTGGCTAAACACTAGATCCAAGTCCTTCCATAGCAGGTCGTGCCAGCGGGCGCCCATGTACCGGTGGTGCCAAAGATCGTTCGTGAGGGTATTGATTCGGTTTTCGGGGTCGTAGAGCGACACGTTGCTGTCGAGGAAACTCTGCGGCAGCTTCACAGGCGGAAGCTCGTCCGCCGCTCTCGGCCTCGAAAGGCGCGCTCGGGCAGACGCAAACGCGCCGCCTCTCGATCTGCGGAAAGCCGACTCGTTTGTGGGCTGTTCGGTTTTCACACCGTCCTGATCTCTGCTGTTGCCGTCATCCTGCTCGCTCGCGGGTTTTTCTGGTGGCTTTCCGTCGTCTGCGCCGCCTTCGGACGGGCCTTTCCGCAACCTGAAGGACGGGTGGAAGTGTCGACACTGGCGGCGGGCCGAGAACGCTGCTAACCTCGACGACGCAGAGACTCGAGAGGCTGAGGCAAGGGCCCGTGGCCCTATTGCATGCATTCGGAAGAAACAAGGGCGATATGCCAATAATTGGCGGTGTCGTTGTAGGGCGAAAGCACTCTTTGTCGACAAGCTGTTTGAGCCGGCGCTGTGCTTAGTGAGGGCGGCGGAATCTCGGCAGACTCTTCACCGAGCCTCACCGAGGACCACACCGAATGGGCTTGTGATTCGATCGAGAAATGGGGCCCATGACCCAGCCAAAATGGATGTCATCAGGTGTACTAGAAACAGTGCGAGGATTTTACATCTGTGCATGTTTTTATTTGTATTGTCGTTGACGCTCCTGCGCCTCATCTTCGCACCCATGCCCTTTGCTGCCAACCATATGTCATACACTCGTAACGCTATTCATATGATATTCAGAATAACGCGAAATCTTCAAAATCAAATCCTCCTTGGGCTCCAGGCGCTTTCTTTCCACTAATCCACCATTGGCTCCATACGCGAAGTTGGTCATGCAAGGTGATGAAAAGCTCCTGATTGTCCCAGTCAAGTTTGATCGTGCCATGTGCAGGTTGCGTCGAACTGTTGTCGCAAGTACTTCCTGGAACCGTCCACACCGGGCCCTTGACCACCCAGTTCCTCTGTACGTCATCTACAATGACTCGAGACCACTCAAGAACCATGGCATCTTGAATCTTGAAGTTCTTAGCCTCTCTCAGACGCCGGAAGAGGCCTGAGGGAGATAGAGGCGGAACCTGTGATCTCTCAAGTTGAGTATCCAGATATTCTTCGGCTCCGTTGACGAGGACGCTGAACCAATTAAGGTGTTCCATGACTTCATCCCACCACTTCACCTCACCTTGCTTCAAGGAGTAGGACTCGAATGTTGGCTGAAGGGTGTTGACTAGCCAAATGATTTTCCTCAGCACGTGAATGTGCTCTGCGCTGACAGGGGTGCCTCTCAAACCAGTCGCCCAGTCAAGCGTAGATGTGATCAGAGTAGACATGGCGGTCAGCACATCATCGTTTAATTGGCGGGCAACGACTGAACCATTCCACTCCAGCTCTAGAGCGTCGCAGAATACATCCAGCAGAGCGTAAGCTTCAGGGCTAGACTTCGTAGCGTGCAGAACTGCAGAAAGCATTCTGAGGGTGAAGGCTACTACGGCGTCGCTCTGCATAGCCGTCTTCAGCAGCAGCACTTGTTGTGGCAATCTACCCAGCTGGAGGGCTTTCTTGAAGTTATTGAGCAAGAGATAAAACAGGCTACTGGCGATTCCAGTGTTGCCCTCCGCCAGCTTCAGGCCATAAGACAGGATTTTGGCCACTTGCAGCTCAGGATCCTCAGCAGGGGGAGAGTACGCCTTGCTCACCTCCCTGAAGAAAGGGGGCACTTTGCAGATGTCCGTGCCGTAGGTTGTGATGAGGGATATGATGTTGCGAACAAATCTGACATAGGTTGAATGCTCTGTCGAATCGTTTGTTGAGTCGTTGGCCGTGACTTGAAGATCAGTTCGCATTTGCTGCATGGCATTGTCCAACGCCTTTGAGAAGTTGGATAGTTCTTTCTTCTTTTCGGCAGCATTCATTGTCTGCAGGGACTGCCGCATCCATTTCATCGCGTCTGCAAGAATTAGTCGGCCGGCCCTCAATTTCGGCTAGGGGCACTTACACTCGAAGAAGTCGCGATTAGACATGTAACCTGGATTGGCAACAAACCCTAGTGTCCTATTGGGGACATAGGGAAATCTCTGGCGTTGCATTTGCTGGCCAAGCTGATTTTCAAATCTTAAGCAGTGGTTTGGTTGAACAATAATCAGCAACCACAGATGGAGGAGATCAATACCCATGTCCTATTTCAAATCAGCAATGGTCATGTCCAGCGAAACTTTGTGACTTACGTCTAGCTTCACATCCCCCGGCCTCTGCATGACGGTCGAGAGAAAGAGCGGAAGGTATGGCCGTTGTTCCAAGCTGAGCTTATGAGGCATATTGTCGAAGAGACCAAATCTATGATTGCGCTTGAAGATTTGAGAGTATTGCTTTGGACATCAGTACATTGTTCTCTGAGGTAGAATCTCAAACTTACCATCATTCGACAGCGGACAAAGAGGCTGGACGTCATGCCAGATAAAACCACGCACTGCTCAACGCACGCACTTGAAACAGACTTGACCAAGGGTTTGCCTTTGTTGGCTTGGTTGGCCAAAACACAACGTGACATGGAGAAGAATCCAGCGGCCAGCTCACGCTCGAGCATCTAGGAAACTGTCAGACTCGAAGAGAAAGAATGGGTGATACGGCTTACTAGGATAGCTTCTTCCGACTCCACGCCCACCATGCTGTCTTGGCTGTCCCCGTCTTCGTTGAAGACTGTCTCAATCCGTACAATGAGTCGTTCAAAGGTAGTCAGGGAGGCTTGCAGAAGTGCCGACGGGAAGTCTGCAGGAAGGGCGGAAAAGTGCTGGAAGACGTGTTGCAATTGGACTGACACATGTTAGTATGGATTTTCAGAAAATGAACTGGCTCTAACTGACCAGTACTTGAGGCAAGTCTTGCCAGCTCCAAGCTGTTTGCATATTGTACGACGTCCATAGACGACTTGACAGAGAAAAGCATGATCTCCATGGTAGCAGCCTTGTTCTTTTCTACGATTGCGTTCATGAAACTTTCGCTGATTCTATTTGTCGCATCCTTCGGCATTGCCAAGAATTGTCGTTGCATATCAGCCGCGGCGGAATTGTACTGGTCAACCAACTGCTTGAACACGTCTGCCTGCCAGTTGGCCAGGGGAAGGAACGACAGAGAGGACTCTTCGTGTACCACGAATCGTGCGAGTTGGTTCCAGGCCCGCAGGCTGATCAAACAAGCTTCCTTGTGAGAGCTAGCGGGAATGACGAGCTTCTGCAGGTTGTGAATAGGAGGCCGAAGATCGGGCGGCGCGGCCCAGAACAAGGTGCAAAGAAGATCGTGGTGGTTCCTGAGAGCAGCCAGATCATGTGCGTGAACGTCCTGTTCCTTCGAATATTGTCGGTCGTGATTGGGAAGAGTGCGAGTCACCAGATTCCGAATGTCGTTGACCATGTCCTTCTTCCTCAGCTTCTTGATGACCAACGCCACCAATTTGAGGAAAATGTGGAAGCAGCGATCCTCTGCTTCAACCTTCAACGACGGACTAGTGTGGAGGTTGTCTAAAAATCGAGCAGAGCGGAATGCCTCTTCGTTCCGCAAATGAGACAGATTCTGAGAACCGAAGAAGTCGAAAATTGTGCCAATGATGCCACTGCATTTCTGCCATCCCCATTGTTCCACCAGATAGTGACATCTGGCCACCAGCGTGCGGCAATAGTCATTGAAGCTTGGAGATTGACGGGGGTTGTCGCGGTAGAGCTGGAAGACGCGCTTCAAGACTTGCTGAGGAAGGTTCCAACCTTCCACCGGGGTGTGATGTCTCTTGTCGGCAATGAGAACGCCCAGATTATCGAATTCGCATAGCGGCAAAAGGGTGAACATGTCCTTCCATAAACACTCGAATTCTTGTGCATTCGACCCTCGAATGATAGCCGGCTTGATAAGATGAGGGAACGTGACGTCCCAGAAATTCATCCTCGGTATCCGAAGACTTTCCAAGACCCTCATCAAGACTACCCAGGCGTGTGGAACAACCTTGTCAGAGCGTATACCACGCTCACGATACCTCAACGTCTGAAGGTCATCATAAAGATTGGTGACCTCGTCCAGTCCAGACGTTAGAAGGCTGCTGACGAGTGCTTCGGCAGCTTTCCTGAGGAGGTTTTCCAACGTGAAAGTTTCCGAGATCAGCGAAGCACGGTTCTGGCAAAGACGAACTGCAGAAGAGACGATGAGCAGCAGGTTTGAAAGTACGTCCGTCAGCTCTAGACGTTGACTTGAGTCTAGAGACAACTCGGAATCCAGGCGAGACAAGGAAGCTCGGGTCACATCGCTTAGACGTGTGACAAAAGAGAGAGCGCCATTGTCGTCGGTGAAGCTCATTGACTTGAGAACGTAGTCCAGAACAAAACGCGCTGCATCTTTGGCGTTGAAGCCAGCTTCTGATGTAGGCACAGGCTTCAGGACTTGATCGAGCATTCCATCCATCAAAATGCCGAATTCCGACGAAACCTGCTCAGTCCAGATGTCCCACCGAAGAACCTGTTCTCCCAAATGGAACGATACTCGAGGCCGAGACTCCCAGAGCTTGTCTGAAAACCGTTCATCAACTGCGGAATCAACCTTGCCGCTTCCTATGAGAGTACTCTCGTGGAAGAACACTCCACGATCGAGTGGGAATGTATCAAAGTGCTGCGTGTAGTGGGTACCAAAGGGGCCGAGGCCAAGCAGTTGGTTATCAGCATGCGTAGTCCTGGGCGCCTCTGCTGGGGTGGACACATCAGTCGCGGGCAAAGGATCGTTTGCATAACGAAATTGGGCAGCGGCGACGTCGATTCGAACGGGCGGAACAGCTTTCCTCGAACGTTTGGGGCGATGCTTCTCAGTAATCGACGGCTCGGGAGATCCTCTGGTTTCAATGACCCGCTCTGAGACGACAGAGCATGCATCGTCAATAACAGAGTCCAAATGCATACTCCGGGCGGATAGCGACTGTGAACGACTTCGACGAAAGAGAGCATCAAGTGCCCTTTTCCTAGCTTGGAAAGCAATTCTGCCCGGCTGCTCTGCCAGATCGGTTTCAAGCTGCGCTGGTCTATTGGTGGCATGTTGGCTGGCGAATGAACTTTGCCGCGAGAGTGGCCGTTGCGGCCGCCGACCACTAAGGGACGGGGTCGCGACCTGGTCATTGTCTTGTATCGTTCTCGCAGGCTGAGTGGCCGTCCGACTCTTAGGGGAAGCTGCCGTAGTCTGCGAAAACACATTCGTCGAAAGCTGAGCGAGTGGATTTCGCGCAGTGGGTTTAGTTCGGGTGCTCCATTTGCGTTGCAGCCCCTGGCGAGGCTGTATTTTATTTCCTTTCCACTTTTGCAACACTGTCCCAGCATCGACATTGTCCTTCCTCGTTGCTAGACGAATTGTCTTGTTCCTCGGGCTTGACTTTCCCAGATTGCGTCTGCTCTGAGCTGCCCGCGCTGCAACCTTCAAGAACTGCGGCGCATCTGGCTCGATGACATCCAGGATACTCAAGCGCGGGGGTGTCTTCGCCCTGGCGATAGCTTGAGGTGAACCAGGCGCTGATTTCTGAGTGGTCACCCAGGGATCCAGGCGGGGTGTTGTGGTGAATCGGCTTGCGCTTTTTGGAGGCCTTCCACGTTTCTTTGGCTGAGCATTTGAAGTCGATTTGCTTTTCTTGAGTCTCTTCGCTGGACGGAACGACTCCTTGAGAGTCATCTGGCGTTTTCGGCTCGGAGCCATCTGATCAACTCCGTTATCTTCCATAGCGGAAGAGTCCCCATCGTCAAGCTCAATGACCGGTGGTCTACGTCGTTGAGGGGACATCGTAACGTTGACCAGAGCGGTTCCAGCAGGCCGTGACGCCGACGTTGGTTCTTCATCGGAGTCATCAAAAATGAACGACGCCGTTGTTGTAGACGTCGAGCGACCAATACGACGGACGGCAACCCCACGTCGCTGCGTCATTTCAGGCGATTGTTCGCGGTGATGCTGTTGTGCGGGCTTCGGGCGGCTTGCTTGTTGGTCAAGTCTAAGCCATGATGCCGGGAGAACGCCTCGGATTCTTCGACCAACGTTTCTGAGGGCTTCCGATTCGCTCTCTGGGCCACTGCCAGCACCATCCTCGGATTCTGGTGCAGACATAGCAGCAAAGTCTCCAAAATCAGGTTGATCGTCCTCTGCGGCAGAAATGTCGTCCATTGTAATATCAGCAACTTCATGATTTGCGGGAGCTGAAGCTTGTCTCGGCGGCGACGGTGACCGAAAGGGGTCATCGTCGTCATCATCGTCAAAGAGGACTTGAGCAAGGTCCGTCCCAGACGGTGGGATAGAGCCGGCTCCTAAATCGACGGGGGCATTCGGTAGCTGTGGAGGTAAAGGAGAAGAAGAGAGAACGCCGTAGATCTCATCATACGTCTGAAATGTCGGACCTGGAGGCGGCTGCTCGGTCGTGGCCACCTCCTTCACCGGTCGAGACCTGACAACGCCTGTGCCTATAAGCCTTCTTCTCTTTTTACCCTGTGCCGTCGTCGATTTGCGGAAAATCTCGTCAATCGAGGGAAGATCTCCGTTGTCGGACAAGCTGGTATTATCCGTTTCTCCATCATGGCTCGGTTGACTGCTCGGTCCACCCTTATGCTTGGGTGACGAGGTTCGAAGCGGAGAAGGAGACGGCGACAGTGACATTCGCAAGATATCGTGACTCAACGGTTCCTCCAATCCATGAGACTGGCTCTCGTCCGTTGTCTCGTTCTGTCCATCCAATACGCTCTCTTGACTGGCTTCGAAATCCTTCTCCTGGGAATCCTCATCGGCTCTCTGTCGCCTGGCGGCCGGCTCATTTGGCATCGTGACAGGCCGTAATCCGTGGGATTTGAAGACTTTGCTGTATTGTGCATTTTCGATCAAATATGGATGTTGCTGGATCGGTTTTCGCGGCCTGAAGGAGCGGGCATGCTGGGCGGCAGTTTCCCTCGCAATTTGTTCGTCCCTGCTCGTGTCCGAGTCTCTCTGTCTGACTGGTGGCCGTGGTTGACTGCTCAAAGAGGATAGTCCGTTTCTCGGCAGACCTTCTGGACTTGTCCGTGGACTCTCTTGACGCATTCGCGGACCTTCTGGGCTCGTTCGTGAACGCTGCGGGCTCGATGGTGGGCTCTGCTGACTCCTGGGAAGGCTTTGAACATTTTGTGCTGGACTTCGTCCTCTCCTCAGCGAGCTAGATGGCATCCTGGGTGGACTTGCCATCAGAGCTGTAGGGGGTGGCAGGCTTCGAGTATCGTTCTCGCGGGGAAACGCAGGCGGAGGGGCTGTGATCTTGACATAGCTCGTAGATATGCTGTCGTCACCTCCGAGAGGATCTGGGGACTCGTCTCGGCCGCCAACTGTGTACATATGCCTCGTCGGCGGAGGGGCCGCAGCTGGCAGGTCCTCTAAGTCAAAAATATCCGCGAGATCGTCCACATCTTGCGCCGAGGAAAGGGGCGAAGAGGCGGGCTCTTCGACAGGAGGTCTAGTTTCCTCTGGGCTCGAGGTCGGGGGATTCGTCTTCGAAGTCGCGTCTGCGTTTGCTTGGGAGGAGGAGGGAACATCCCACACACTGTCTCCGGGGGCTTGCGGCGACTGCAAGGCTTCATCGGGTCTCTTCATGGGAAGGTCGGCATCTTGATGGGTTCCCTCGAATTCCTGGCTATCGAAGTCCAGTTCGTCGTCCGAGTCTGGGACCTCGCCCAGTTCTTTCCAGTTCGCCATGGCGTGAATCGTTCATCATAAACAGCTAAACATGGTATAACAAAGGTTTCGCAAACGACGTGCTTGAGAATTTCGGGTGAATAGAAAAGAAGTCCTGGGATGTGATGCTTGGTCGGGAACGAACCGTGCATTACCTAAGATTCAGGTACCCTTGAATCACTAGCTGTAGCGTGCACTTCGATATATGTTCAAGCCGGACGCGTTCAGACGGTCGGTGAGCGCGTTTGGTGGGGTACGCGCTGTCGCGCGGTGGCGGGTGGCTACGGGGGTGAACCACTTTAGCTCAAATGCGTGCACGGCCGGCCGGAGCCGAACTTTTTTTGGGGATGGCACCGTGAGCTCCAGCTGGCAGCTACGGCTACCGATCTCGGTATTCAATTACATCACATTCGACTTGACATTTGCGACTGGGTTCAAGCTGGAGATACTCTCCAAACACCGACCTTACCGCCTATCTTTCCGCATCATCAATCACAAGTTCCAGTAATCCCAAAGCTCTAGACATGAGTCTCACCAAGAACATTCTTCCACTCGTTGTGGCCGTAACAGCTGGCGTCGGCATATGTTCGTTCCCTGTCCCTGCAAGCGCATCGCGAAGCTCGTTCTTGGCTTGAAACTGACAGTGGTGATCGCTGCAGCCGTATACACTCTGAAGCCCGGACTAGAACAGCAACAGAGACTGCGGGAAGAGCGCGAACGGGACCAACTCCACGCCGCCGCATCTGGAGCACCCAAAACTCCTGACCAGCCAATTCAAGCCAAACGATAGCGGAGACCAACTCGGATCTTAGTGACACCACGAGAACTCATGAGCTACAATAGCTTCGAAACTTAGAGGGGATATTGGTGGGCTACGACATTCCGAGCTTTGCTCGTCCTCCTTAGACATAGGAGGCTTCAGGCATCGGGCAGAGTGAATACAGGTTCACAAGAACAGCTTCATACCGACAACAGGGCTGGCGCGTATTTTCAGACTCGCAATAATTCCATCGACTTCTTATAGTTGCGCCACAAGCTACGTGGTTCATTCATAGCATACTCAGGATCGAATACACCGGGAGAACGGCTGTCAGCTGTCAAAGCTGAGTTTTGGGGGTTGCTTGGCTAGAAGCTGCGCTGTTGTCTTGTATGATCTCAAAAGATAGATCGATGAGCACCACAGAACTTCTCCTGAGGCCATTGGCCGGAGGCGGCGAAAATGTGCTGCCCAAGTTAGTCAACCGGCAGGGGCATGCATCAACAACACCTTGATGCTATTCGCGCTGTCTAATGGTGGCCCAGTGCAGCAACTCGAGAGCCATTGCGGTAAAAACGAAAGCATTCTTCGATAGACAGCATGGTATACAAATGGAAATACAAGCCAAATCCAAATGAAATGTTATCATGTTGAGTCGCAGCCTCGCAAGTGACGCCATCGAGATCCCGGTCAAACGGCGACGGCGGTATTCGGAATGGACCGACAACCGAGCTTGCACTTGCACCACCACCAACACAAAAACAAAAGCTGTCAGCCCAGACACCGAGGTGAGCTCCCAGCTGGCACCCCCGGCCATTCCATCGATCCCATTGGAAGCCCAGTCCGTGCACGGATCAGTTTACATCACGTGATGCCCCAATCACCCAGTCGCAGCCGGCGTATTGCAATCGAAATTCCAATCATACGATTGCCCGGAACTTCTAGGTAGCCAGAAAAACCCTCTTTTCCCTTTCGAACAGAACAACCACCTCCTCGACCACCGAACCCGCGAGCAACCTCCACCCGACCGCCCCCGTCAATTGACAACCTCTCCCCTCCGAGCCCAGCGGTATCTCGATTTTCTCTCTTGGACGACACATAACGAAGCCGACACGATGTTCAGAACCCCCACCGTTTCCCTGGCCCGCGCCGGCCTGCGCGCCGCTACCCAGCAATCGGTCATCCGCCGCGCCGCCACCACCCACGCCATCTCCAACCCTACGCTCGCCAACATCGAGAAGAGATGGGAGGGCATGCCTCTCCAGGAGCAGGCCGAGCTCTGGATGGCGCTGAGAGACCGCATGAAGGGCCCCTGGGCTGAGTTGACCCTGCAGGAGAAGAAGGCCGGTGCGTTCTTCACCCGAAAATTCCACACACATTTTCTTTTGTCGTCGATCGCCAAGTGGTCCGATGTTCCGAGAGAGGGTTCGAAGCTATTCGCGAACAGCTCTCGGTTCCCGTCCCCCGCCTTCCCCCCTCCCATCCCAATCGTCCTTTGACGGGCCCGGGTCATCTATATAAATACCTCTTGGTCAAGCTCCGGATGGATGCAACGCCAATTGGATTGGCACGACCGTCCAATGTGACCGGGCTTCATATCCCTGTGCATATGCATTGCGTCACAACGAGAGAGCCTCACAAAAAAACTAACGCAAATTGTCTCAACAGCCTACTGGATCGCCTTCGGCCCCCACGGTCCCCGCGCCGGCCCTGCCCCCGGTGAGGGTGCCCGCGTCTTCTGGGGTGTCATGGCCTCCATCGCCGCTACCTTCGTTATCTTCGGCTCCGTCCGCATGCTCGCCGGCCCTGCTCCCGACACCATGACCAAGGAGTACCAGGAGGCTTCCAACGAGTTCCTCAAGGTATCAACCCTCCGCACCGACACAGACGGCCTCTGTCTGGCTGATCAATGGCTGACCCCTCGCCTCCTAGGCACAAAATTCCGACCCCATCACCGGTCTCTCTTCCGAGGGCTACTCTGGCAAGGGCATGGTCCAGTCTCCTCCCAAGAACTAAATCGATACCATCTTTCCCTTTCGTCTCTAGAATCACAATCACAATTCGACCATGGCAGTTTGCCCATGTATAAAACTAGTAGAGCTGGCATGGGCTGGGGGGCTTGCGACGTGACTCGAGGACAACCATCTGCTTGGTGTAAATACTGTACCAAAAGAGCCGAATTCCAAGCAAAGTTCCATTTGTTTTTTAATACGCAGACTATGAATGATTCAGAAATTACATGCCGCCGTGACAGCTGTCACCTGTGAAGCGTGAGGCATCCCGTGACACAGAAGGTAAATAACTGAGTAATCTCTTGATAAGTCTATTTAGTTTGGGTCTACAGATGATTTGCTTTTGCGTGGTTCTCGTTACAACAGCTTCAATTAATTTTCGTTTCCATCTCAACTTCTTTTCAAACGTTTCCCGGCACGATGTCCTTCAGGCATTGACTTCCCTACATCTAAGAGTTTTGGGTGACAGGAGACTCCAAACCAAGCACCTAAACATCGTTAGTTTTTGCGCAAAAGTCCGCTTCATTAGATTACGTACCAGAGCAGTCCGGCTTGGGATGTACACATGAGTCCAATTCTTGCGGTTGTTCCATTCCATGGGCGTGGTAAAAAAGCGAGTGCCTTCATCAATGCGACCATGGCCGCCAACATCCTTGTGGTCGGTGTTCAGAATGACCTTGTACGTTCCAGAAACCTCAATGCCAATTCGGTAGTCAGCGTAGCTCTCGGTGGGGTGGAAATTGAAAATGAAGACAACGCCGGCCCTCTCAAAGACGATGACCTTGTCTCCCTCGTGCTTGAGAGAGATGTATGCTTGTGGCGCCGCCAGCCAACCGTAGTTCTGCTCCGTGGTGTTCATGAGACGATCAAAGTGGTCGAGGAACTTGTAGCGAAGGAGGTGATCATCAGTCAGGTTCAGCTGGCGACGAGCGTACCAGAATGAGTTCTGGTTGCCTTCACGCGGGAAGTCGAGCCACTCAGGGTGCCCAAATTCGTTACCCTCAAAGTTAAGGTATCCTTCTCCGCCGAGACCGTGGGTCAACAGACGGATCATTTTGTGGAGGGCCATGCCACGATCGATTGTTGGCGTCAAGGGGGTGAGGGTCGACATGTTGGTGTACATCTCGGCATCACAAAGATGCATCATCAGGGTTTTGTCGCCAACAAGCCTAAAATGGTCAGGTTGGCTGGAGAGAGGGAGGGAGGAGAAGACTTACGCCTGGTCGTGACTCTCGCAGTATGCAATCGTCCTTTCGCCATGTCTTCTGTTCGTGAGGGTAAAGCAAATGTTGCCAATATCCCAGTCCTCGTCCTTCTTCTCCTTGAGAATCTTGATCCACATATCTGGAATTGCCATGGCAAGACGATAGTCAAAGCCAACACCACCAAGGGAAAGGGGAAGACAGAGAGCGGGCATGCCAGAGACATCTTCAGCAACAGTGATAACTTCTGGGTAGAGAGAGTGGAGCATCTCGTTGGCAATCATAAGGTAGACGATGGCCTCTTCATCAGCATCGGAGCCAAAGTACTCGTGGTAACCCCCAGAAAACCCACTGTTCTTGTCAGTGCGCTCACCCTACGGAAAGGGTCCGAATGCTTCAAAGTACTTACGTGCCAATACCATGGTGTAAATACAGCATGCTGGTCACTCCATCAAAACGGAAACCATCAAAGTGGTACTCATCCATCCAAAATCTCAAGTTACTGAGAAGGAAGCGCATGACCTCGTGGTGACCGTAGTTGAACAGCCTACTATCCCACAGCTCATGACGACCGCGGCCACCTTCATGGAAGTACTGGTGGTCTGTTCCATCAAATTCGTTCAGTCCGTCCAACACGTTCTTGGAGGCGTGACTGTGGACGACGTCAAGAAGCACGACGATGCCCATGCTATGAGCAGTATCGACCAGCTCCCTCAAGTCCTCGGGTGGTCCATATCGGCTACTCGCAGCAAAGAAGTTGTTGATTTGGTAACCAAAGCTGGCATAGTACGCATGCTCCATGACCGCCATGAGCTGAATGACGTTATACCCAAGGCTCTTGATTCTAGGCAGCATGTTGTGGGTAAACTCTTTGTAGGTCGCAACTCTCAGCTCAGGAGAGGAAATTCCAACATGTGCTTCGTAGACGCGAGCGCTCTTAGGCTTCTGCGGCCTCGGGTGTTTGAACTCGTACTTTTCGGCTGCGGGTGGGTTCCAGAAGCGAGCTTCGTACGCGGGGGATATGGACAAGTCTTGCGTCACGTATTTGATCCATGCGGGAAGACGGTCGACGCGCTCGCCGCTCGGGAGCTGCAAGGAAATCTAGTCGCCAATGAGCTCATGCGCGATTCAGCGCAGTAACAGTATGGCACTGACCTTGATCTTGGAGTTATGGGGAATGGCAGCTCCGCCATTGACGGCAGGGAGAGTGATTTCAAAGACGCCAAAGTTGTTCTTTGTCATCTCATGGGAGTTTCTGTCCCAGTTGTCTTGAGAATTCCAGGTAAGCAAGTTTCTAGCAGGAGACGCAAAACGTAAGTCTTACTGAAATCGCCGGTGAGGAAGGCCTGGGTGGCATTAGGAGCCCACTCGCGGTAGACGATGTTGTTGTCCTTGTCTACATTGAATCCGAAGATGGACGTGCCCTACGATCGGTCAGTTCTAGATCGATACATTCGGTGACATGCATTTTTTGTACCTTGGAGAACTTTTCAATGCCGCCCTCGGTATCGTTGATCTTCTGGATCCAGTCCTGGGCGCGGGCGTAGCGCCGCTTGAGGGATTCCTGAAAAGGCGACAGCCAAGGATCGAGCTTCACGACACCTGCACGCGATTAGCAAATGCTCAAACAGAGCCTCAGGGTCCCGTGTTTCTCACCAGTGCCATCGTTGGGGATGCCCTCGGCAGCTCCCTGGTTCCCGTTGAGGGTAATCGAGTTTGCCGAGTTCTCGACAATGGCGGCCATGGCGAATAATGTCGATTGCGCTTGGGACGGCCAGATGTTTGAATGGCGGGGTAGGTCTCGCGGCAGTTGGTTGTTATTGGTATCTATCAATTGCAGACGCAGAACGTCAGATGTTGCTCAGGAGGGAGTCAACGCAGGGTAAGGTAAGATGATTTAGAGGAAAGTCGATTGGGAAGCTACCGTGCCCCGCGTGTGAAATGTTGAGGTCGGGGAGAGCTCAGAGAGCTATGGACAAGTACCTGTGCTAAGCTGGGAATTCAGACCTTTCCTAACGTAGGACGGTAGGGGTCTGAAGCTAGACAAGGAATGCGCAGATTGGTAGCAATCTCGTCAGGAATTGGGCGAGTCTGGAATCTGTAGAATCTCGATCAAACGTTGGGCTCGTCCTCACTTGAGCAACAAAGTAGGTGGGAAAGGCGGGGAGCAAAGCAATCGAAGATGGCAGAGTGATATCGAAGGCACTTGTCGTCATGCAGTGTATGTCAGTGTCCAAGATAGATGGTTCCCCCGCACTGCTTGGGGCAAGCTTGGGATGGATTAGACTTTCATTTTATCGGACGCGACAGAGGGAAGAGCTCGGGTATATTATCAGCGTGGTGCATATGGTATGACGTCGTGGGGCAACGCACTTGGCTTGTCCGATTGTGATGGCGAGTAGCTCGCAGCTTCAGGCAAGCAAGCAAGTAGGTAGGTACCATTATGGTCAATTGGGCTGGGCTGTCACGCTCTCCAGTGTCTCTTCTCTCCGCATTCTGTGCGGCCCTTCCGCCTGGGGATCCGTTGGTCTGGGGCGACCAATTCAACGAGAATTGCTGCATCGGAAGCGACAGGCCGCTAGAGAGGGACGAGAAAAACACGATGCCGCCACCCGAACACCTCCCTGTCGATGCCTGCGTCTCAACACAATCGGCAGACCGAATCATAGCAGGTGGACGGCCTTCCAGCGAGCCATTCAGCAGCTCGCCACCTCCGACGTGGTGGTGGGGGATGGCACGCTGAAGGTTGGGGTGCTTTTAGCGACCAATGTCGAGCTCAGCTTGTTGGACATGAAAACTCGAACTCGGCTCCCCCGTGTTCTTGCGTGGTGTAGCCTGCCGTCCTCCGCGTGCTTTGCTCCTTTCAGGCAAGGATGAAGGGCGAGTGAGGTGCGACAGGCCACTTCCCCGGCCAGTAGCAGGCCAGGCCAGCAGGGTATCCAGCCAGTACGAGCAATCTGCATCAGTGCTGTGGAACCAGTTTGTCGTTATCGTGCCAGATTGCCATCACAGACACGTCGTGGGCCTTCTCAGAATCGCATGCCAGACGCACAGTGGTGGAGCGCTGGACGTGGAGTGGGCTGCTGGGCTACACTGTATTCGTACCAAGCTAGGTACGTAGGTGGGTGAAGCTCCCTCTCATACAACATCTCAGTGCACATTGCTATGAGGTCTATCCAAACAATACGAATCAAATAAACATCCCCTGACGTTGGCATTCATCCAAGACAGCGCCCGGCCGTTGAAGGCGATGTTCCGGATGGGGCAGCCGTTGTGTTCACAAAACAAAAGCAAGCTTGGCAAGATCTGTCAATTCACTGCCTGAGACGCCTGCGTCCGGAATTGGTTGGACCCAATGTGCGTATGGTCTCCTGACCCCAGCCTGGAGGTTTGCTATGGAATAGTTGGGCTTTGCCAGGAGTCTGACTTGTGTCTTACAGCCTACTGGCATGTATGACATGATCTGATCTGTGAATATCCCGCAGAGCCGCCCATTGCCCGTCCCCAGTTCGTCTACGGGTGGCTGGCAGGAGACGCCGCCTGTAAGGAGACTGTAAGGAGACCAGGGGAGCTCTCCGAGATGCCAGTTGGGTCGGCACTAACACTGCAGCGCAAGCAGCAGGGTCTGCGATTGGAACATCACAGACACGATAGCGATAGAATTGCGTCATGAGTGGCCTCGCGTTGCGATAAGCTATTTCCCATCAATGTCAAATTGACTTTGGAAAGGCAGCAGCAAGTCGTGTCAAGGAGCAAATAAACCATCTGATAACAATCAACTGTATCCCCAATCTTAGCCGCTCCTAAGCGCTGGAACTTGAGCTCCTCAACCCCGCATCCGGGCCACTGCGGCGGGCAGCTCTGACCAAGCTTCCTTATGCGGCCAACCAGCCACAATCTCACGACAGCTGCCATCTACTCCGGTAACCGGACTTTCAACCCGCACCACCAACGTCTACTCGACACAAACGCGACAGCTACCTCTCTAACGATCATCACCCTTCAGCCAGGCTATGGTTCCCTTATCGGGTCTCCTGCACCATGCCTCTACCCGTCAGGCCATCGGCCTACACCTGCGCACGCTGCCTGCTGCTTTCCAATGCTAGGCGCCCCTTCTCCGTCTCACCCGTCGCACGAGTCGCACCGAGACGCACTCAGGACTTCAACTCCGGCTTCACGAGCAGCTATGATCCGTCTACCGAGACCGGCCGAGGTCCCATGTTCAACAAGAACAAATTCGGCGTTCCGCAGTTCTATCCCCGAGACCTCAAGAAGCGCGTCGACGATTACGTAGTCGGACAAGACCGAGCAAAGAAGACGATATGTTCTACCATCTTCAACCACTACCAGGGTGTTAGAAGAAGGACGAACCAGGGCCATGAAGAGAGGGTTCAGAGGGAAAAGGCCGAAAGACAGCGATATGCTCGGGATAGGGATTTGCCCGAGAGGCGGGACGTTCATCCCGTCCAAGGTCAGCGCAGTCGCTACTCGCCCTTCCAGCGCTATCGTGCTGATGAAGAATGGCCGCAAGATGAGTTCCCTGGCCATGCTGAATCTGTCCAGCACATGGACGAAGGTTACAGTTCGCCGACCGGCTTCGACGGCTCTTACCTGGTCGAGGAGCCCACGACCCCGCCTCAAGTCAAGATTGACAAGAGCAACCTCCTCCTCATCGGTCCTACCGGTGTTGGCAAGACCTATATTTTAGAGTCAGATGATGGCCTCCAGTCGTTCCTCATGTTTCGGTTTGCTAACTTCCTGCAGGACTCTAAGTAAGAAGCTTAACGTGCCTTTTACGATAGCCGACTGCAACTCCTTCACCCAAGCCGGTTACATTGGGCAGGATGTGGAGACGTGCATAGAACGATTGTTGATCGAAGCGAATTACGACATCAAGGCGACCGAGCACGGCATTGTCGTTCTGGACGAGTTTGATAAGCTGGCCAAACGGGACAGCATGAACGGTCGAGATGTTGGTGGAGAAGGCGTCCAGCAAGCTCTTCTGAAGCTGGTTGAGGGCTCCAAGGTGACCGTCAACGTCAAAGACAACAGGTCATCGAGGTCCGCTTCACCTATCACGACGAACTACACATCTTCAAGTTCAACGTCGGCCCCGCAGTCCACTCCTCCGCAGGGCAAGGTCGATCAATACACTATCGACACCACAAACATTCTATTCGTCTTTTGTGGCGCGTTTGTTGGTCTCGACAAGGTAGTTGTACGAAGAGTGTCGAAGCCCTCGATGGGTTTCGGCTCCGAGTTGCGAGCTTCACAAGGTCTTGGCAACACCCATCCCATTCCACGACAGTTGTTCTCGCACCTACCGCACGTCGACGCGGAGGCTCCGGCGTCTGCGTATACACCACTCGATCTAACAACTCCTGTAGATTTACAGGCTTTCGGGTTCATTCCTGAGTTGATTGGCCGAGTGCACAATATCTGCGCTCTCAGCCCGTTGTCCCTAGATGACCTGTTTAGGATTTTGACGGAACCGCGCAACAGTCTCGTTGCGCAGTATACCGCTCTGTTCGAAACATATCCTTCACGCTTACACTTTACTAGAAAAGCATTGTACGCCATTGCTGAGAGGGCTGCCAAGTCTGAGACTGGCGCTCGTGGCCTCAAAATGGAAATGGAGAGGGTTCTGGCTGAGCCCATTTTCGACGCCCCCATGCCGTATGTATTGATTACCGAAGCCTGTGTTAAAGGTTCCCAGAAGGCAGGTTACTGGGGTAAAGATGGGAGACTGGAGGTTGAGCGTCGGATAGCTGAGGAAGATTCGGACAATGCGCCACATACTTCAGAGGTGACTTTCGAGCAGTACCGAGAAGCTGGCCAGAGCGGCGCTTGAAGGCCATGGCATATATACCACGATTTGTTTGGGAGCATATACCTGTGCGCGGTATGGAGTTGGGGAGTAACATGCTTAGTTGAGATGATGATGCACCCATACGCGAAGGCTGCCGGGTTTGCGGGTTTGTGCAGAAAGGGTTCGCTCCATCTGATAAACCATAATGCGTAAGGTGAAATTTTGGAATACATAATTCTGTTTTGTTCACTGGAATAAATCATACAGATCGAACATATTCACGACATTGTAGCGAATCAGCAAAACGCTTGCAGAAGTTTGTCTAAGTAGCAAACAATCGATCATGTTGAGCCACGATTTTCATCAGCGTTCTCACAGATCAGAATAACGCTGATAACCACGGGTGCTTGATCGCTTCTTTGGAAGACACGATCCAGAGTGAAATGACGGAAACGGCAGGGTGACAGGTAAAGCCACAGCTGATGTAATCTATGTCTTATCACCTAGCGGCCCTGTCAGAAATGCGCGTTGTACCCATGGTGGTCCTTCCTCCCAAAGTCACTATGAGGTTCCCCGTGATTTTGAGAAAGTGACTGATTGCAGGATATCTCTCGGAGCTTATTAGCAAAAGATCAATCAGCTGTATTTAGAAAAGATGCAACAAAGGCTTAGAAAAAAGAAGAAGGAAAAACAATTGAATATCGTTACGTACATCAAGTCCCGGGAGGCGGCGCTGACTGTTGCTGCCACAGGTGACCGCCATAGGTCATCCCCACAGATGACAGATGACCACTGACCAGCAACCAATGCCATGACCAGGATATCCCTATTCTAAGAAACCTACAATTTTTCTCCACCAGTCCCAGACAGATTTGCCGCAGGCCCGTACGAACCCGACCCCCTTCTTCCGAGGACCGACTCAACCCCGGCCCCGT